CAATTATTTTTATCAGGTTTTGGACGTATCTGTTATACCCAAACTTTGAACTTATTTCGTTATGAACTCGACCTTGAACATTTTCGGTTATCCATTGTTTTGTTTAGCATATTTAAAATGTTATCCAGGAAACCTAAAAATTTAGGGTTTGACGTGAAATTTGTCTTAATTATTATTAGAACAATATATTTGGGTAGGACACTCGTAGTTTACAAATGAACTTCTGAAACGTGAAATGGAATTCCGTTTTCTTGTCATGTGGGTCACATGTTGTGAGTGTATCGATCGACCGTCCCTCAAAAATAGATCAGGACGGATTTTGGACGTAACAAAAAGTCTGGCAATCCTGAGACAAACTACAGTATGCATTGCTAACTTGCGTACTGTAATATTCAAGCTGCCACCCGGTGAGAGTGAGTTGCCCACTGACTAGAAAGGCACAATTACCACTCCAACCCACAAGAAGTAATCAAAACAACCGCTTTCAAATCACAGATCTATCAGCTTCATAGATATCATGGTCAAAATATTGAAAAAATAATCGTAAAGACCATTGTGACTTTGATGAAAACAGACAACTTGTTAATCAGGAAACAACATAGTTTCGGAAGAGAATCATCGTATACAACAAACCTCTAATATCAGGAGAAGGATGGACAAGATCTTCTAATAAATGAAAACTAGTGGATTTTGTTCATTTTTAATTTCTGAAAAACAGTTGATAAGATGCCGTGTAATTGACTTTTATTGATTCGTTGAAATTTCGGAAGTGCTTTGTCTTTGGTGAACTAAATCAATAACTATCTACTAAGCTGCCGATAAGGAGTAAGAATGAATTACAAACGTTCAACATTGGGACCAACATTTAATGAGGCACCGTACGGCTTCATTTAGATTCGGTGAATTTAATACCTCATGTGGATGAAATCCCGTGTATCCCTTAGACCTAATGATAATTTTTGTTGATAACGTCAAAAATTGGCTTCAAATAACGGTGAGCGCCGATGCACAGGCCTTATGATGGACATACGACAAGTTAGATACAAATATGTCGACCATAACATAAAGAACTTTAGTGAGTATTAAACTTCCAAACTGGGTTTGGGCTGTAAGCGACTGTCTAAAAAGTGACTCGAGTATTTCAAACCCTCTAGACACAGTGTTCTTTGAGAAGCCAAACTTCTTTAATCTGTCTTATCACAAATAAAAAAGTAATTTCGACGTACATTAACCGTAAAAAGACTTTCAAGCCTGATGAAATTTGTTTTCTCCTTCAAATAGACCGAGACAGTTTAGACGACGTAGCAAACGAGTTCGAAATGAAGGAATGAAAAAAGCCCCGATAACATACATATTATCTTACAAAACGGTCAACTCTCTGACGCTACTGCTAGGGAACGTGGCATCATCATTTTAATCCGACTTATTCAGAAAATGACTAGAAACTTTCATCTACTTACTAGGAAGAAATCGATAATGACCATCAATCATCTGTCACCAATACAAAAATCTGAAGTTGATTGTTAATAATCGTAACCCTTGTTTCGTCCTCTAAGAGACTTCTAACGTTTGTTTACAGTTCCTGAAAACCGAAACAAACTGTAAAATTCACTTGTTTACTGTACTATAACTTACTCTGAAGCTATCAAGTTCGCTTCACTGTTCTCTGAGCCGAGATCCCGTGTAGTATCTGTCCTTTGCAGTGTAGTTTCTGCAATGGTCTATAAACTGAGATCAATGGAATCACTAGTATAAGCTTTGGAAGGTATATTTCTTCTATCCACCATCCTCCAAATAGCAGAGGTCAGAGAACAACTAGAAAACGCAATACCAAGGCCAGGTCTGTCTCTAGCTGGAGAAACAACAGCCTGACCACCGAAGTCATCGGCAGCTATTCAGGATCTCACAATGTGTGTGACGTGACTGTGAGTGCTACTCCAATGGAAGTTGATGAATGGGTACACGTCGAAAACTAGAAGCGATCTAATTTTGTTGAAGGAAAGGCAGTCCCTCAAATTGTATCCGGGAAGTCGAAGGCTGGTCGTAGTGACATGTCAGTTGTCTTTCACAGAGTCAATGAAAGTAAACGTTCGGAACATAAAACTCGTTTTGAGCGTGACAGTGATTTGATAAAAAAGCTGCTAAATAAGCTAATGCCTCGGGATATCTTCGAAGTAATTTTACTAGATTTATGGATAAGGTAGCAGACTGAACTTGAAACAGAACCAAACCAGATTGCTAATAGTAATATTAAAATCTCCCGATGAAACAAACTTAATACTATGGAATAGACATAAACTAAAGGGGTCAGGAGTTTTTGTCCGTAAAAACTTGCCGCTCGCGGACCGCATGAACAGACGAGAAGAAGTAAAAACTAAAACTAAGGTTAGATGCTGAAGATAAGGACCTAAAATTTATACATTTTCGGGTTGTCAGGCTTCGACAGAGCGTTGTGCCAAGGTCACTCCGGACTCTGGATCTATTACACAAGTACCAGGAGCCTGCTCAACAAGTGAATGGAGCTAGAAGTACTCTATCAAGCCTGATTTAGTCGCAGTAACAGAAACTTAGTTGATGCAGTCTGTCGACAATAGGGAATTTAATTTTGAATGTTTCGCATTAGTAAGAGCCGACAGAATCCGGAAGCGTGAAAGAGCAGTAGCTCTACTCTTTACAAATACTAACCCATTTATAATTATCGATAATGTTGTCCATGAGAGTGGAACGCGTGAATTAGTTGGTTGAACGAGGCCTTGCTCGGCGGTTCCAATAACTGGTCACAAAGTGGTCGGTGTTTAATCTTAGGAGACTTTAATGCAACTACGGTAGACTGAAAACTGAGATGTCAAAAAATTCCAACAAGAACTAGTTGATGCGGTTATTACATGTGCCCTGGTGCAACATGTGAAAGAACTAACTAGGTAGGACTCTCACTTCGAATCATCCTTACTAGATCTCAAACTGACTCATTATGAGGATGGCGTCACGAACCTCCAATATATGCCACTTTAGATAAAAGTGACCATTAGGTTCTAATCTTTGATCTCCACATAGTTGTCAAAAACGAGCATGCGTCAGCCCAACCTAGACCAAATATTTAGAAAGCAAATATACGAGGTATTGTGTACTCGAGATCCTCAGTGGACCGGTCAACAGAACCAGAGTCTACCAGTGAAACGGCCTGTGGTGTTTTTAGAAACTTTTACTTAAAAGTTCCAGCGCTGATCACCCCTTGGACTACACCAAGAGGTACGAGAAACCCTCCAAGGTGGTTCAGTAAAAAGCTTTGCACCCTTTCTCGTAAGAGGAGAGGAATGTTGAGAAGATTTAGGTCACTGGATACTGACGAGACAAAATCTTAATATCGAGAAGCTCGAAATGTTTGTGCCTTGATCCTCCGTAAGCGTAGAAGGTTGTACGAAGAAAAACTTGTTATGGAAGCCACAGAATATCTTAGACGCCTATACTCACACATAAACCAAAGGACTAAGAGAAGAGGAAATGTTGCATCGTTACGAGGGGACAGTAGTATTTCGTCGTTAGTGGAGGACGACTATTTTAAAGCTCATGTATTTTCAAAATACTCTAGGGATGTATATATCGTAGAGATACCCGTCCCTTCAGTTCATACACGCTCACACACACTGGACACTACGACTATTAAAGAACTCGATTTCTTTGGTCCGATAAATGAGCTTGATATGGGCAAATCCATAGGACCCGATGAAATGGATCCCAGGTTACTAAAAGAACTAGCAAATGACGTATTGAATCCCTTGAGCATGTGTTTCAATCTATCTGTGACCCAGGGTCGACTATTAAAAGACTGGAGGAAAGCCATAGTATGGCCTGCCCTCAAGACAAGTACGAAACATAATCCCAAGAACTACCGATCGTAGGCCTGACTAGAGTAGTTGTTAAAATTCCAGAAAACATTCCTCGGAAGGATTTGCTTAATCATCTCGACGAAAACCTGATTCCTTCTGAAAAGCAAAGTGGCTTTAGAACAAGTTATTCCTGTCTCACTAGCTTGTTAGTAGGCCTTGAAAGTTGATGCATCCTTAAAGATCAGAAGCTATCTATAGACAGCTTCTGACGAAGATCCTCACAACCGGTTATTATATAGGTTAAATAATATCGTGGTTGAAGGCAATTTATTAATGTGGATAAAAGACTTCTTAGTTGGGCGTCAACAAGGAGTATCAATGAACTAAAAGTTGTCTGACCGAGAAACAGTACTTAGCAGAGTGTCTCGTAATACAGTTTTGAGGCCACTGTTGTTTCTCTTGTATATAAATGACCTTCCTCGTCCCCTATTATCATCGGTTTTGTTATATGCTGAGGATTTCAAGATATGAAGAGCGATAAGAAGTAAAGACTGTCTAGACACACAAAGACTTAAAACATACTGCACAATGCAGTGCGATAGCCACCAAAGATTTCAGAACCCTATGGTCAATACGTAGGGCTTATAGCTATGTCGATGCTAGAAACCTTTTTACTATATATACAGTAGTAGTGCTTCCTAAACTCGATTACTGCATACAAGCATCTAGACCATGCCTGAAAAGAGACAGTGAGTTGTTGAAAGGGTTCAAAGAACCGCAAATAAACTGATTTCCGGAATAGAAGAGCTATCGTATGATGCTCGAATGGCTAAACTAAATCTATTTCCAGAGGCTATGTGATCACAGTTTTCAAATTACTAAGTGGTGAATTTGTGTCTGGCATGACCCCACTTTCCTTATCTTCCAATATGTGGGATTCACGAGGACATTAATAAAGTTCATAAGCCCAGAACAAATTACTTGTCGGTTGACTATGGACTTTGCCATCGAATTACCTACGAGTGGAATTCATCAACTCACCATGTGATTGAAGCTCCATCTATCAAAAGAGAGTTGGGTCAATCGAGAGACCATCATTTTCAGGGCTAACACAGGTCACCTTGCCTCCTGTCCTTACCGAAAAGAAACTGAGATGATCTTGAATCTCTTGTCATTTTAGCGGGTAGATTGATTAGTTGCGTTGTGTGCACCTATGTGCAAGTATTTCTTAGCCTATTATGTACTTTGTTTCGCCATCTCTGTTTCTCCATTACTATCAGAAGAAAGCACCAAATACAACCTTCTCATCAAGGAACGTGCAGTTCTTGATAAGGTAGTATCTCTTTTGTTGCCGTGTATCTGTTCAGTTGGATGATGCTGGAGTTAATGTATTTTCGAAGTCTGGTCAGAAGTTCTCTTGTTCATGGGGTACAGACAGTGGCATAAAACCTGATAACTCCACTTCACAGCTGTCCAGCAGCGTCGTACATTCCCTACTGTCCATGTTTAGTGCGTTTGATTGTCTAAGAGTGGTTAGTGCTATATTTATTTCACACATATTTGACGTTTCTAGAAAAAAGGTTGGTGGACATACGAGTTTTGTTACCGAAAGTATGTCGCCCAGTATCATGACGAATCTAAGGAAACATCTAAGACGTATCTCGGACTTTTCGAGTCGGAATTTGACTGGGACAATTCTTCAGAGGTATTTCTCTCACTTCATACATTGCCTTATAAACTATTCAGAAACCCAAATACCATAGCCAGTTTTATTCGAATGGAAGTATTTGCGATTTGACAAATATGCCTCGGATAACAGAAGTGCAGTTTGTCTGTGCTGATGCACGAACGTTTCATATTTTATCTGTTGAAGAACCTGAATCCTGTGTCTATCTCTTAAAAATATCAACTCCGAGTTTATGTGGAAACTCGCATTTCACTTCTCAGTTTTCGACCAAGCCGCATGATATTACCTGTCACCCGACTCTCAGCGGACCAGATTTCTATCGCTATGATGCTTGTAAGTTCATGTTATAATTCTCCTGTTCATATATGAATAACTCTATGCCTTTTATTGGATATTTCCAACGAATAAAAGTGATGTGTTCTTCAGTTATTCAGGAAATCACCGGGACTATAATTTATGGACGAACCAATGAGATTTAGGATAACAGGTCTTGAATTTTGGCGCAAAGTTCATTCACCCATTTGTCTAAATAGCGTTTCGGCATTTTAGCTGATGTCGGTTAGTGATGAAAACCATAAATTTAATCCTTAATCATCAAATGTAAATCACAATCTTTATCCTTCAAATTGCTTTATAACCCTCATTTAGCTCTAGTACGCAGGTGGACATTTCCAAGGTCACGTTAGCGTCACTCAAAGGTCGTCCGTAAATTAAAGTCTCACCGGAAAATTAAAAAGTGGGTAAAATGATTTCCGTACCGATCAATTTTAATTACATTTTAAACGTCGACCTTCGCTCTTTGACCAAGAACTCTGCACCACAAAGGTATTAACTAGGATTTTCGTACAACGACTAAATGGGTCACCGTACCAGAAGTTTAAAATGGTAGACCTTCGCTACTGTTGTCCGCACCACGAGGCCATACATATATTTACTTTGATAAACGCAATGGTATATGGCGCAATCGTTTTCATGTATTTTAGGTTTGTGATTAAGCATGGACCTTGTTTTCTCCTTGGTATTGACCTTTGCTGTTTAATACGTCTTGTAAATGACTGATTTAAGCCTTTGTCTCAATAGAAGGCTGTTCGAAATAAAATTTGGACGGCAAGGTGATGTAAACAGGCTATTTTTTGCCAAGGCTATAGTTGATCTTGCAATACCATCTATTTGTGAATTTTCGGGGATAGCTAATATATCACATAATTCTGAATCTTCGTCTTCTTATTACACTATCCAAATTTATCAAAGGGACTAATTGCATAAACCTTTATCTGGTAAATAAGTTACACAAAATATATTACCACGTCAACGGTCGACCTGATCACTGTTATGTTTACGCTTCATGTCATCATCTTTTACTTTCTTCATAAAAAGTGGTTGTGTCTCCCTTACTTGAAAGATTTCTTCTGATTGTACCTTTCCGTCCCATCGTTACGACCACACTACCATACACCAATCTCTTCGTTATCGTTCTCTTTTTCTTTTGTGCTCCTTAGTTTTTTTTCTATCTCTTCGAATTTTCATTGTTTTGTGTGGCGCATATATATTGGCGCTCTCTTGTACCAATATTTATGTGCTCAAATAAAATAAAATAAATCATTAAGTGTTGCCACTAAAAATCGATTATCATACATTGGCCTCAATTCTTGACTTTCATTTGTACAGTGAGACGTTCGTTTTAGATGTCAGGTCATTGAAAGCTTTCGGAAAATAAATAAAATCGATTGATGTTGATCAGTGTTATAAACCGTTGTTTTTCTGTAATGATGGTTTTTTAGGTGGTTTACTCCTTGACATTGCGTGGTTTCGTATTTGCTTTTGTTCAAAAACAATCGGTCAGCTGTCAGAATATTGCCATTATCGCTATTATTTTCTTGTAGGCTGTAATTTCACTAACATATGGACTATTAGAAAAGGTGGTATCTTATGTTGTTTGGATGTGTTACTTTTTAGAAAACTTATTCCCACTTATCAATGTTTTTTTATATGCTTCAGTTTGCCATTGGATGCTACGACTCTATATCATATACATATGTTGTGTGGAGTGGTGGCCTAGTAGTCAAGGCATTTGACTTTCAATCACTAGGTCCCAGGTTCGAACCTCGCTCTGTCCACTTCGTTTCAGGAAGTCGCATAGTATCATCAGTCTTTACAAATTAAGATTGACTCATACTCGAATACTTCGTGAATTAATTAATCTTATTTGTTCACGTTTTATTCTTTTACTCTTGTATGTAGTAAATAAAGCAAGGGATCCAATTCTGAAGTCGTCTTTAGCTAATATATCTCAAAGTTTCAGTTCGCCTTCGAAGCGTCTATATACCAACAAAAATATGTATAATGTAAGTTTGTTAGCAGTTAGTTAACCTATCCTATCATTTAAATCTCTGAGTGTTTCTTTATTAGTGCTTTGTTAGTACTCATGTTTTGGTTTCATATATTTTAGGGAATGGGCTAAATATTTAAGCGAATCAGATTTTAATGTTAATTTTTGAATGTGGTTTTTACAGGTGGTGCTTCATTCGTCTGTAATCCACGACTTTGGAACCTATTGAGAAGCCCGCTTGCTAACTATAATCCACTTTTAGTTTGTAGATGCTGATTCAGTGCCACAGTTTGATGCACTTAGGATAGAGGGATTTTTAACTTGCAACTATAGTTATCAGTTAACCCATCACGTGATTTTGTTGATTTCTTTTTGTATGAGCTAACCACCAAACAATTTGTTTTATTGTCAGAATAACAGCATAAATCATCTTGTCAGCAAGAAAACTTTGTTCGTAAACTGCTTTCACCTTATCTATTAAGAACGTGATTAAATCTTTTGTTTTATGTAGACAGAAGGTTTATGAGTGTGTATAACGTAATGGCTAGATAGGGAATGACATAGTCTGTTCCTTGAGTTGATACATTATCTGATACCAAGATAAGGTGAATAGTGACTTATTTACTCAGCAGTTTGATTCATTACAAATGGATGTGATTGGTACAACAGTTTTCCTCATTTATTTGAGACACCAGTAATATAATACGCTGTTTGAAAACTGAGTTCGAGTCGGTTGTAAAAATATAGACCCAACGATTTCTGCACTCATCCGACTTCAAACCAGTCTTCCTGAATTTTCCAGCAGATAGTTGCATTTTTTTCATTGAACTTCACTCCTGACACGTTATCTGTTAATTAATTAATTTATTTGAATACATAAATATTGGTACAAAGGGGCATTAAATACATACGCGCCACACAAGTCACTTGATTTGTGTGCAGACTGTGATACTACCCGGGTTCCCAGACCGAAGCAGGTGGCTTACTTAGGGGTCACACCCAGAACCTTTGACTTGAATGTCTAATCCACAAGGCAATGGAGCAACGTCGGGAGATGCAGTCCCATGGTAGCCGGTGACGCTTTCTGTTCCCTCAGGATCCTGAAGTCTATGTGCACGATTGGTTTGGAATCAGGGTTTTCCAGCTCCCCTAGGTGGATCTTCCATATCCACCAAGGCGCCGGAAATTCGCTTTTTGTCCTCTCAATTTCGTAAACAACACCCCCACCGCGATAAGGCAGTGAGTAGGACTTCCTTAGCAGTAGCTGTATACGCGTGGCCATGTGAGGGCATTTTGACAGGGCGAGCTGACTCTGCCAACCCTCGAGCACACCAGAGCATTTAGGGGCACCCTCGGTCGTACTAGGACATTTGGGAGCATCTATTAGTTTACTTGCCATTTAAGTCACTGGTGTAACATGGTTTCAAATTTTAATGAGATATGAAGCTTTTGAGAGTTGAAGAAACTTCAAAAACTCATATTAGTACCCTTTCGATAACATATATGCATACACATACATACTTGAGAGTTCTAGTTTTTCATATAGTTTCACATAAACTGTACAATATTGTGGGGGGACAGTTGTTCATACTATATTTTTCAACTAGTGAATAAACGTTACAAGTAAATAAATTTTTCTAGTTCACTGTTAAACTCTTTATCCGAATGTCGTTTCGTGCCTCTCTTATCGATATATTAGAGCAGTTTACAATTCAGTACTTTTTCTCCACGAGTTCATTAAGTTGTCTCATTCTTCGCGTTGATCTCCAAAGTATGTCTTATTTTGCAGAAAATTCGTAACAACCGACGCAGGCGCAAATTGAAATTTCTAAGGCGCTCGACAGGAATGTTCCTTAGATCTTTGAAAAGATTATCAGTTCTCTACAAAAAGCAAAACCTTAAATCTTCATGGAGTTCCCATCCTATATCTTTGTTACCCACAAATACAGCCAGTTCATATAAGCTATGGCTCCATTTCGGTTCGCTTAGTAGTGACCTCTCAAATTTTACATCTGTTCTATTAAGGAGGAATGGAAGTGAGTGTGTGTACTTTTTTTGCTTTTTTGCAACATGAGTATATCTGTGATGGTGGGCATGACATTTTATTGCATTTGTTGGTCTAAATACTTTCATTAACATATGGCTAATATAAAAATCTTATTTTTTCCCTAGTGTTAACTGTCACAGGAATATCATTATAAATCCTTAATAAATGATCACATAATAAAGAAATTAAGTTGTCCAAAAGAGAACATCTTACCGTTTCAAGTATATCAGGTCTAATCTCAGAAATTACAAAATAATATTCACAGTAATTGTCGGTTATCGTTAAATGAATTCAACTGAAGACCGTTACTACCATAGTATATGTATGGACTTATATCACACTATACTGGCCGCAGAAAAATCCAACCTTTTCAAGTTCAGTTCAAAAGTCAAGGGTCTGTTTAGGACAGAACTATCCAAGTACTTAGTCTACCATGTGAGGAATGCTTTTTCTGGAGTAGCTTGGTAAGATTCTTAGTCTTTTTTAAAAACAGTAGCGACGTCTGTTAACAATTTAAACTAAAAGGTTTAAAAAGATCACTGTATTTCAACAACCTCTACTAAATAGATCCGTATAATGTTATCCTGTCACGTTCGAAAAACAATAAAGAGTGAAAAAAATTTAACCAAACTGGCAAGAAGTTTACCAAATGATCATGAGCAGTGATGGGCAACAAAAGCAAAAGATATGGAAAGGACAGTGGTAACTGATAACACTAGACAATTGTTCAGATTCATGAAGGAAAAATGCATTGAGAAGTCAAGTATCGGTGAGACTCTAAGAATAAAATGAAATGGCGATCCGTTTTCAGTCAAAGAAATTGGAACAACGAGCAGAGCAGGGACGATTTAACTGGTCTCCAGCTACCATTCAGTTACCTCTCATTCTTATCCAGCTTGAGCGTGACATGACGAGGCAATAATTAAGCCTGATAGTTAAGCCTTGGTTCTTGTTACGTACTTGGTCTGTGTGACGACGACTCTGTGCTTAATATTCAGAGGAGGAGAGAGGTACAGGATCGTCTGGGCCTAGTTTACGAACTGCATATGATAGGTTACTTAGTACAATTTTGAGACTTGCATCAAGTGAGTTCGATTATGACTGAATAATCTTGAAGACAGAAGGCAATCCTACTACTAACCTGTGACTCGGTTGACTGACAAGTAGAGGTAGATGGTCTGCCTGAAACTTGTCCGGTTTATTCCGGATTCATACTAACCCAAAAAGGCGCACGAATAATATATGACTGAGGAGATTACAATAGATAAGGAACTAGTAAAATACAATGTCCAAACTAGGCCATCAAAGTAGGTACATGAAATGCAAGAGTTATGTTTAAATCACTAGTTTTGGGTTAGAAAAGAATATGACAGTGATTTGTATATGAAACAGCTTATGATTCACAGAATAAACTAGGAACAAAATTAAATGTTAGTGGTGTGCGGATCTCGAATCAAGCGAGACAGTGTCCCAGAAATAGCTTCTGTTCTTTGTTATTGCTTCTTTATTTGTCAATTCATATTACTTCTACTGAAGAGTATATCCTCCAATCGTCTATTTGTTAAATCTGTCATTGGTGGTTGCTAATTCCTATGATAGTTCCCCATCAGTTGATTCGTTTAAAACTGTTCAGAAGTGTGACTGTCCTTGGACACTGGGTTCATGCTTCCAGGTCATCAAGACTACTCATAACCCATTTTCATTGACAATAGGTATCTTAATAAGAGATACTTTTCCACGGTGTGGGAAACTGGGAAGTGACGACTGCCTTCATACCCTTAACAGCACTCAAGGTCAACGTTTTCATAATCAAGTCCCATCTTCATTACCAGATATTTCTTATACTTACACCACCACTCTTGATCTGTCCTCGACTTCTTTCACATGTGCTACCAGTGCTAACGACTCAAATACACAAACCCGCCTTTCTAGTTCTCTTGAAATCATGCTTCAAACTACATTTTGTAGCTATCACTGTCCGAACCCTACGTCAAAGCGAACAACAGGCGTCACTAACTAAGATCCTAGGATCTCATTATATTGGCATATACCTTGTCTCTGAAACCCACATATGAGGTCCTAGAGTAGTCATCCACTTGATCGCATCTGGCGGGTATGAAGAGCCAATACTATATACCATTCATGTATATGGAAATGTGACCTCTCATGCTCTTACCTATGTGTGTACCATTAAGTCTAAAAGCAAAACAGAAACTTCTCGACGGGATTCCTATCAATAGTCGCTTATGCATCTTCCGTTTTGTTGGCGGGACATAAACTGGATTAAAGCGTGCTCAATGCACGATTGTTTTGGTGCACGCTGAGTAGCTAATTCTTATCCAATCAGCACTAGTCAATACTTGGAGAATACTCTAGAATCTTCTCATGTAAAAACTATAAATATACTAACGTTTTCCCTATTGTGCTTCTTACTTCCATCTAACCTTGTTATTTGGAACATAATCTCTTTCCTGTTCAACCGTGTTCTGATTTGGGGACTTGTCGAGTGAATCGGTGTCCGAGAATACTAAGCATTAGGAATAGCTGGATCATAATCGTAAGAAAGAGATCATAACACGTTTCAATAACAGTAAAAACTCGGAAAGGTAGAGACACACCTTTCTCTTCGCCTTTTTTGCCTATGGCTAACTGGAGTTCAGATGAAGTAAAAATAGGTTTTACAGGAAATTTTATGACTCCTTTAAGAATCCCGGGCGCTCAGTAGTCATAGGCTGAGTCAAACTATCAAACATTTGGGTGGATCTTATAGTGTCGCAATCCAATGAACAAATAACGGTGACCGTCTGCCGGAGTTATACTCAGACAACTGATCATTCCTAACAAGTACAAACTTTAATCATATAGTCTAACCTGGCGACCCCCAAACATCAACACAACGTTGGACAAAAATTAATCACATCATCTCCCATCTTCGGGGCACATCGGTAAAAAATGAACAATTGCTCACTCTCAGTCCAGGACATTCGATTGATGAACGGATTATTTACATAAACACGCTAATTGGCCTCCATCTACCCCCCTCAGTTACCCACTATCTCCAAACAATGTGAATGGGAAATTGACACAATTCCATCCACTTGGTGAGATTTAGAAGAGAATGTTTAGTAGAAAATAAGGTAGAGTAGTAAAATATAATGAACTAGCCTAGGATGTGGTGGTCCAATTTTACAAACTTAGTTGATCGAAATACTAGCTGAAGTGTGGAAGCTAGATGTAATCCCATATAACTGTTCTCGATCACTAATCGTTATAGTTTGTAAGAAAGGACCTGAATCCCCTTTCAGTTATCACAAAAGAATCAGTTTGATTAATGTACTTTTTAAAATACTAGCCTTTATGATCATTCCACTGTATGTATGCTGATTTCTACCTCTTTACATCCTATTTAAATGAGTGAGTCCTTGTATCTTACTGAACGATGGTCTCACACTTCTAAATGTCAAACTTTTGACTTTAGCCTGAAACATGAACAACATCTAAATACCATTCTTCAGTCCCATAAAGCTGTTGTTGTGTTGTTTACGAAATTGAGAGGACAAAAAGCGAATTTCCGGCGCCTTGGTGGATATGGAAGATCCACCTAGGGGAGCTGGAAAACCCTGATTCCAAACCAATCGTGCACATAGACTTCAGGATCCTGAGGGAACAGAAAGCGTCACCGGCTACCATGGGACTGCATCTCCCGACGTTGCTCCATTGCCTTGTGGCTTAGACATTCAAGTCAAAAGTTCTGGGTGTGACCCCTAAGTAAGCCACCTGCTTCGGTCTGGGAACCCGGGGAGCATCACAGCTCTCACACAAAACAATGATAACTACTACTGGCGTTATTGTTATTGTATGGCGCGTATGTATGTGATACCCCCTTGTACCAATGTTTATGTGTTCAAATAAATAAATATGATCTTAATGGGGGGTTGTAGTCATTTCTAATAGTTGAATTCAAGAGTCAACCACCATTGAAAAGCTGAAAGTGAGAAGCCATCACCAGTCCACTCCAATCCCTGTCGGGTAGAGACAGGTATCTACGTCAGATAATGGATGAATGTTTGCGCAAGATCATGGGTCGATTAAACTTAGACATTAACAAGGCGAGATGCCGGCTCAATGACCTGGAACCTAAGCGTTCGCGCGCTAGACCAAAGGTCCCGGATACGAGTCCCTCTTGCGGGATCGTGAATGCGCACTGCCGAGGGGTCCCATCCTAAGACAAAACGGTCATTCAGTACTTCCAGGTTTTTAATGGTGGCTTAACTTACATTGACTGATAAATTCAACTATTAAAAATAAATAAAAAACAGTATCTTCATTCACACTGCATAACAACACAAATAATTGAGTTAAGTGGTGTATACTTCCATTAAGATAAGTTTTTTTTCCAGTCAGGCTATCCTATGATACTACGTTCTGGGATGAGAGTGTATTTCCTTATGTCCTATATCCTTAGACATTTGTCATTGATTCTAAAAGTAGTTGAAGGAAAAGATCAATTGTTAAGGTTCATCTCTTAGTGATTGGTCGAAGTCACTAACAGACATACTGTATTCTCTTTGATTGTTCATGCCAAACGAAAGTTTCCTTTGAATTTGTGTTAATGTTTTCCCTCCTGTCTACGTTTTCCGTGCTTTTCTGTTTTACACCACAATATAATTCTGTTACGTTTATAACCCTACACAGTAAACAATGTATCCTTATCTGGTTCTAGTTGAATGACCAATTAATCGTTGTTATAATTTCTCTTATTACGACCCAACTATTCATATTGCTTAGCATTCTTGGGTACAAATTCACTCGACAAGTCACCAAATCAGAACGTGATTGAACAGGAACGAAATTGTATTCCAAATAACAGGGGTATATGGAAGTAGGAATCACAATAAGAGAAACAGTATATTTATAGTTTTCACATGAGAATATTCTAGAGTCTTCTCCAAGTATCGACTAGAGTTGATTAGATAGGAAATAGCTAATCAACGTGCCCAAATACAATCTTTCATGGAACGTGCTTTAATCCAACCTATGTCCCACTAACAATCGTCGAGTTTCATCTTTATTTTCAGACGCTTCTAGGTACTGACTTAAAAGTAGCTGAGTTCATAATAACAAGCTACTGTTAATTCATCTGACTAATAATCTATCAAATTATTACCATCATTCCTGCAATTCCTTATTAATACATTACCTATTTTTGCTTCTAACAACGCAACTGAAAGGATTGTCCTTAGTTTATTGACTTTAGAAATTACTCGGGTCAAATAGATCGTGCCCTTTAAAACTTAAGTGTTTGCGTGTGTATTTCATATACATCTCTATCATTTCTATCTTGTTTCTTTAGTATCTCACCGTCATGTCCCTTTGGATATTGTGAAAGTAGCCATCATTGTAACTAAGGTAAGCTTCCTAAATTACCATACTTTCATTACTTGTTTTATCTATTGCAATCAGTTACCTTTATAGCTTTTCACCAAAATTTTCTGGCAAGTAATCAGATGTTGGATTTTGAGTTTTGAGATTTTCTGATAATTTGTTGAACGCGATTTTATTTATAAAATGTCGAATTTTTTAATATGTGGCTAACAATCAGTGACAGTGGCTTAGATGTATTACTGTTTCCTTTAACATACTCCTTTATTTTAAGGATCGAGTTCTACTTTCTATTCTTATTTTGCCATCATCATTAGTATTATTATTCATACTAGCTTGTTTTTCTTACTGAGATAGTCTAATTATGTGGATTTGGACCGATACAGATTTGTGTCAGGTCTTGGGTTGTTATTGATTGACTAACCAGTTGAATTTAGGGATGGAGGATCCAGCTATAGGAGTTGGAAAATCCTAATTCCAAACCAGTGGTGAACATAGGCTCCAGTATCCTGAGGAAGTAAAAGGCATATAAACCTATTGTTGGTCACTAGGTACCATGAAACTGTATCTCTTAACGTTGTTCCATTGCCTTATAGATTAAACCTTTAGGTGAAAGGCTTGGGGAGTGGTCCTCTAAGAAAACCACCTACTTCGGTTCGGGCTCCCGGACAGTATTCCAGCCCTCACAGAAATCGAATGATCTGTGTGGTGCATATATATTTGGTGCCTCCTTGTACCAATTTTTATGTGTTTAAATAAATGACTTTAAAGAGGGGAAATAATTAATCCGTTAGGGTTGTAAAATCTGAATTCGATAAGTAGCTCGGACATTTACTACATATGTTGTCTACTTTTATGTGTTATATTGCTAGGAGTTTAAGTAAGCTAAAGAAAGGTTAAATGTTAGAATACCGGAAAACGACACCAATCCACAGTTCACTTAATGTTGATGTGACATGTGTAGATAAATGCATGTCTTTTGATTGGTTTCCATAAGATGTTAGTTATCAGTAATTGGAGACTAAAAGAAATTACTCAAAGTCTAGTACAGTGATGTAAATGTTTTCATTCTTTATATTCTTCTAAATAATGTACATGTTATTCCGTTTACATTTCTTTTTTTCACCTGTTTTTATTGATCTGAACACTCAAACAATTCGTAAAAGGGATACAAGATTATGGAAATTAAAATGACTAGACTTCAGTTAGTCAGGTACAACATAGGATCAGGCACATATATGCATCGGTTAAAATTGCCACACCTCATCAGCACAACTACACTCTTTAAAAAACTTGTAAATATCTAACTGGAATCCTGTGGGGTATCTATCAACTTTTCTTTGTCTGAGTTTACTTCACGTTAAAGAGATTTCACTAATACAAAGTGTTTAGTCTTCGATTTTGAATTTCTCTTTATCTGGAATCATGTTTTAAAAGGTTCATTTGTTTAATTCAAATTTTAAGTTGACAGTTGTTTCACATTATTAAAATTTTCGTCAAAATGGTTATTGAAGTTCTTGTGATTGCTGAAGATCTTGAAACATTTCCCATAGTATAAATGATTTACAATAAACCAATTTTTCTGAAGTAAATTGCAAGAATTTACGATTGTAGATTTATTAGTTTGTCATCAAATGTGGTTCCTCATTTCTTATTTTAAGTAGTTTGGCGACATTATCTATTGATTCGCCAGATATTTCTGCTGCTTCGTGAGAATTTTTGAACTTTATGTGTTCCCAGTTTTTTACGAGCTTCTTCAAACACTATTCAGGAGAATAAGGAAACAAGGTGCATACTTTCCTCAACAGATTTCTGTGCAGAGTTGACAAGTACTAAAGTGGCATTATTTATCTATAGTTGATGAAATTTTTTATCTTCAACTAAATCGTGTTTGATTAAATGGTGTTTGACGATCATTTTTACTATTCGTGACTTTATGGTGTAAGTCAGTAACCGAGTTTTGGAACTATAAGTTCAAGTTTTAAATTCTAGCTTCATCTATGGTCAATATTGTATATATGATTTCCGTTCAATGGTTAAAGTATAATTCCTGCCTAAGTTATTGCATATCTTATTTCTTTTTTTCCACTATCAAGAGCGTTATTATGGAAGTAGAGGACTATAGACAATTGCTCAATACGTTTCTTACTGCTCCTATGCAAACAGTGGGAATGATTCATCTATTTAATCTTAGTGATGTCCACGAGTCTATCAGTCGTATTTGGCGTGAACTCTTTAGCTGTACAGGTATATATAATATAATACGCCCATTTTTTCCCAATTTTATGACATCATTAAAATTCTATTTGGAAGTCCTGCTAGTTTTGTGCTCGTAAAAACGTCAAGGGTTTGGAGGCTCTTTTCTAGTTTCTTACTTCACCCTATCTACCTTTAATATACCATTCATGTCCTTTCGTACATGTTCAATATTTTATGAAAAGATAGTGTACATAGACTGCGTTTCATTTAGCTGCTTTTAAAATATTTGATATATCCAAGTTTGTTTTCACCATAATATAGGAGACTTGATTGCGTAACCAAGATATATTGTTTGGAAAGTTGTTTCTCTAGGTTCTAAAATAGAAGTAAGGTTGAAGGTAGGAACAAAAATGATGGGTCTCAGGTTCAAAGGTGGATTTTACACTTCGAACCGTATCACATAATCTGGAGAGTAAGATATTTCCAAAGGGTTATCTCTAGTCCTATTTTCATATGGAATCTAGAGAGAATCATGTCTTACGTTTAGGAGTAATAAGGTCAAGGAAAAGACTAGGGAAATTCTAAAGCTCATCATGCAGAGTAGTTCAGAATTTCCGATAGACTGTGTGCACACACCTTCAAGCGCGTATCCCTTGGGCTGTGTAGTCACACTCTTATCAATAAGATTATTAGGTTTTCCAGAACAAAATAACTTAGTGTTGGTTGCTGATGAGTGTCGAATACTGATCTGTCAACAATAATCGATTTTATCCCATCTATCATCAACCATCTTCCTTGTGAGCTCCTAAATTTCTTTTCTATCGATTACCATATACTGTCTCTGAATATAGCTGTCTGTAAGTTCAGGATTAATATCTACGGTCGCTTGAAACAACCATACAAATTATGAGTTGAGGCGTTTGGAACTTACGTCAAACCGGATTACAGATCTCACTTCTCGAAACTCCAGAATCCTATATCATGGGTGCACATTATGTTTTCAAAATGGATATAAGTATCAGACATGATTGTTTTTGACGTTGTCCTGCAATATAGCAAGCCCTCACTTTAATAAAGATTATTCAAGTTCGCGAGTGGTAGTAGGTAACGGAAGTAAAAATATGAAAATTGCCTAAAATATATGTTAACAGACTGTTGTCTACACACCAATGAGTTATTTTCATAAACGGCGGTAACTATTTCCTTGAAAAATAGATCAGTGCTATACTAGGTGGAGTCCATTGAAGTGTGTTAGTTTGTGTTAATCAACTACCCTCGATAACCTAAATAAGTTGTTTAAGGATAGTGATCTTGAAGTATCAGCTAAAGCTTTGGGGTTAGATGGAATTTCTTCGGACTGATCTTGTCCCAGCTTATAGAAAACTGAAGTTCTTTGGTGATAATTATTTAGGAATCATTTGCATGAACATCTTTTTGAAGGTCCAAGGCTTGAGAATCATCTAACTCATATTTTCTGCTTTAGAACAAGTTTATGGAAATAATTGTGTTTTTACCTTTCATTTGGTTTTGGGACACATACATGACTATAACCGGATTCCTTGACATAGAGGGGATATTTCATGGAGTCTATCGAAAGGTCTTGTGAAATTATCTGTTACTTGGAAACTTCAAGTGCATCACATGATTAAAGGCTTTATGCAAAAACCTTGAGTATATATATATATATATATATATATATATATATATATATATATATATATATATATATATATATATATATATATATATATAATCAACTTTTAGCCTTTAATACCTACCTTACGGATCTAATTTAGGATTTCAACAGCTTGTATGTTATTTGAGCCAAGTGGCAAGCTTCATATCAATGTCTGTTCGTCCACTTCTTGCAGCTGACACGATTGGTTTAGATAGTCAATAGAAGTGCATAAAAGTAATGCACTGACGTAGTTTCATAACCACACCAAATAGATAGCCGGTCTTGAAACGATACGCCTAATCTGTAAGTTACCTTTTGTTTGCGTTTGTCGCAGTTCTGCCATAAACCCTATAAATCATGAGGTCTACTTCATATAATTTACTTTTAATTACCACATGGTGCTAATGTGTAATTGTCTTACTATGTCCAAGAGGATAGACTTCGAAATGTAGTTTGTTGAATTCATTAAGATAGTTTCTGTTGAACTAAAAATCTTAGTTTTTTGTGGAAATCTTATTAGAGAAAATTTATTTTTTTATATTCAGATCCTGATGAGGCTCACACAATGTTATCCACAGTGATCCATGTTTATAAAAAGCATAACTTAGATATACCAACTGTTGAAGATATACCTTTAACCCGTCTACCTACCGAATCGAGAAACAATGCAAAATCTGCATACCTAAAGTATAAGTTAGACTTCACATTTTCAAGTAATAAAGGCAACAATATTGAAATCTTACCGTACAATGAGAAGGTGTTGGGTAATCCTCTAAGTTATGAAGAATACTCGAAATTGTTCGATGTAATTAAAAAAGTTGTAGACTTTACAGATCTCTTCCTGGAGACTTCGAAATTATATGTCAAGATACTTTTCTTTCTTCACAAGAAAATAGAGCTTAGTCAGAATATAGAAACCCGACTGAAACAAACGTTTTCCAATATACTTACTGATTCAAATGTCAATGTTGTTGTGATACAAGGTGGTAATCGTATTATGAAAGATAAATATAATCAAGGTGATGCAGATCAATGGGATCGCGATCTTTTGCCATCTCTTAAACAACGGGAGATCATAGAGATTATGCAAAAAGTCGTAACTAACTTAGATCCAGAAATATCGGACGAAGTGGATATAGTTGAAAAACCAGAAAATCAAGGAGGTTTATCTACGTATTACATTATGGTAAGTTCATAAATATATAATTGGATACCAAATTATTTAGATTCCATTTTACACATTGAGTTATACATATTCAAAGACTAGTAGTTGAACGAATAATATTCTTTTCGATAAATTCTCTTCAGGTTCTACAATTATCTATCCAAATTAATAATCCGAAAAAAATGGCCAGGTTAAGGGCAAAGTACATCGTTTAGAGCATGTGAATTTAGGATTGTGATAAACAAAATACAATAAAATTGTTAATGTTGATATGACATATAGAATGTTAACTTGAATCAGCTTATATGTTAACTAAAATTTTAAGATCCATGATCAAAATAAATATGGGTCAAATAGGGTGAGAGAGGAATAATAGTGCAATTACAATTCGATCAAATAAGTAAGACGTAATACGGAGGGGTGAATGCGAAATGAATGTATCATGTATAGTGGAGATTAATGATGTTTAACCAATAGTATGGATAATAATAATAATAATAACACAAAGATTTATGAATAAGGAAAACAGGGACAATTACAATTGACTATGAAAGGTCATAGTCAAATTAGTTCATTCAATAGTTAAGATTACGATTGATTAATTGGCATTGATGTCGGCCAGGGGAGGAGGAGTGGTTGAATATATTTCTTCTGTACGCAAAGCTCCGGTTTCTTCATCCGGATGGCTACTGCTTCAGCCGTTTGAAGAACTTTCAGTCTGATCAGTTTTGGCAAGAAATTACTTACCTTATAAATAATTGAAAAAGATTGGTTTATACTGGCACTATGACCGGTTTGTACTAAATGGGCCAATATTGAGCTGTTCACCTTCTTCATCAAACCTTTATTTAGCCACGCTGGAAGGTGTTCACGAGCACGAAAATGTAAATTCCTAGAACTTCGACCAATATAACTCGCTCCACAGGAGCAGTTGAACTGATAAATACAAAATGAGGTGGTCATTCTAGGTAATTCATCTTTTAGCTTCGGTGTAACCATTGGGCGTGTAGAAAATACTAATCGTAGTTCTCCGGCGTTAAAAGACTTTTGTATTGTCCTACGTAATCTCTGAGTTAGTATTTCGCTAGCCGCATCCCCTCTAAATTGTAGACGCATGAACAGGGATTTCTTCTTCACTGTTTGCATTTCGCTTGCTTTCACCTTCGAGACCATGTATTCAATTATAAACTTTCTAGGGTAGCCGTTCTGCCTAGGAGTATTATGCAAGGTGGTAAGCTCTTGTTCGATTATATCAGTAGAACATATAGTGCGAATACGGTAACTCAGGTTTTTGATCAAATTTCGTTTGTACTGAAGAGGTACAAAGCTCAGGAAATTCGTATACTGCCCAGTCCATGTACACTTTCTGTTTATATTCCTTTTTAACGATCCATCCGCTCTCTTAGTCAAGAGAACGTCCAAAAAGGATATTTGGCCATCACTCTCTTCTTCCGATGTAAACTGAATGGCTGGATGCACTTCATTAAATCGCCTAAGAACCTCTTGCGGTGACGTATTATCTTTACAGAGGATGAACGTGTCATCCACGTATCTACAGTAAAATGTGAAGTTGCGAATAATCTTTTTTAGTGGACCATTTTCTAGTTTGGCCAGAAATATATCAGCTAGTATAGGGCCCAGTGGTGAACCCATCGCCACGCCATCTGTTTGCCTATATATTTCACCGTTGAACTTGAAATTTACATTCATGGTGCATTTGAGTAATAACTCTTTCACGACACTAATAGGGACAATGGTTTCAATTTCATTTTCTATCAGCTGTTCACCTATATATTCTACAGTCTCTATGAGTGGGACGTTTGTGAATAACGATGTTACATCCAATGACATCATCTTTAGTCCCAACATATTTGCATTTTTGATTTTATCAACAAATTGGAACACATCCTTAACACTATATTTTACAAGCTTTTCGTGTAGAGGTTTCAATACAGTTACCAACCACTTAGCTATAGTATGGTAAGGAGAGTTATACATATCTAAAATAGGTCTTAATGGGACACCTGGTTTGTGCACCTTTGGCAATCCATACAATCTCGGCAGATGGGTTCCCACAGGTTTAATCATTTCATATAAACCCGATGAGATAGCCTGTTGGTCCCTGAGCTTCTTCAAAGATCTGGTAAGCTCATTCTCTATCTTATTATTCAAATCTTTCTGATCAGTTGTTTTTTGAAACTTTGATTTGTCATTTAAGATTGTACTCATTTTTTCAATATAATCACTTTTATTAAGAAGAACGACACCAGAACCTTTGTCAGGTTTTGTAATCAGTAACGTCTCATTCTTAAGAAGTTGATAGCTTCCTTGTGCTTCTTCGTAAGAATGCTTTTGTAACTAAATTTATTGTTCTTATATTGATAACAGCAGTCTACAAGAGTTGATTTAAAATGCTCTAATTGTTGATCAGAATTCACAACTAAATCACGCGTCTGACTATAAAGATTCTCGAACTGTATATCTGTATCGATGTGATTACAGTTATTACGAGTATCACAAAATTTTAGACCTAGGGATAATACCTCTAGTTTTTCTTTATCTAGTTCGACACTAGCGAAATTATGTACATACCTTTTACAGTCAGTTGGAAATTTGCTTTCGGCTGTTTTAAGAAGGTGAACAGCTCAATATTGGCCCATTTAGTACAAACCGGTCATAGTGCCAGTATAAACCAATCTTTTTCAATTATTTATAAGGTAAGTAATTTCTTGCCAAAACTGATCAGACTGAAAGTTCTTCAAACGGCTGAAGCAGTAGCCATCCGGATGAAGAAACCGGAGCTTTGCGTACAGAAGAAATATATTCAACCACTCCTCCTCCCCTGGCCGACATCAAGGCCAATTAATCAATCGTAATCTTAACTATTGAATGAACTAATTTGACTATGACCTTTCATAGTCAATTGTAATTGTCCCTGTTTTCCTTATTCATAAATCTTTGTGTTATTATTATTATTATTATCCATACTATTGGTTAAACATCATTAATCTCCACTATACATGATACATTCATTTCGCATTCACCCCTCCGTATTACGTCTTACTTATTTGATCGAATTGTAATTGCACTATTATTCCTCTCTCACCCTATTTGACCCATATTTATTTTGATCATGGATCTTAAAATTTTAGTTAACATATAAGCTGATTCAAGTTAACATTCTATATGTCATATCAACATTAACAATTTTATTGTATTTTGTTTATCACAATCCTAAATTCACATGCTCTAAACGATGTACTTTGCCCTTAACCTGGCCATTTTTTTCGGATTATTAATTTGGATAGATAATTGTAGAACCTGAAGAGAATTTATCGAAAAGAATATTATTCGTTCAACTACTAGTCTTTTAATATGACGGGAATCTTTAAACAATTATACATATTCGTTCAAATGCTTAGTAATTTTAAAGTAGACAATAATAAATAGGTAAAGTAGATGAACCCTATTTATCGATGTATGTAGAGACTGAACACTAAACAGTTAATGTTAGCAAGGTCAAGTCTATGTGTTTAACAATCCACTTGCGTTATTGCTAGTCACATAATGCAGCTTTATCACAAAAGTTATAGTCTAATTTTTATATTAGTTTTTTATTATTGGGTGGTTTTATTGAGTTCGTATATACATTCTCTAATATTTATGTTTTATAGCCTGGTGGACCTAGAAAGAAGGAAGAAAAACGTGTCAGGAAACTTGAACAAAATTATCACTTTACTTTCCACTGAATAGAAGAAATATAGTAACATTGATTTATGGCATAAAATTGTATTTCATCAGTAATCTTTTAGTCACCTGTACTCTTTCATTCTATTTTTCTCAATATCTGTTTTTTCTGCATAATCTGTAATAATATACTTCGAAATATGTTAATATTTACATTTGTCGAGTCAGTTTTTTAAACTATGTGCTACTGTTGCTGCTAACACAATATTTTTGTCAGTTAATCTGAGTGTGGTTTTATATTCACTTATTTTCTTTAAAAAATTGTTTTTTTCTTTGTCATACAAATACGTTCTTCCTTCTTAATGACCTTGTCATATTCGTCTCAGTTCCATTCCCAAACTCGTCAATCATCACAACTCTTAATTGGCCATTTTCTTCAAGTAATATATTCCTGTTGGTGTATCTATCATTTATGTGTGTAAATATGTACTATCTCTGAAATGTTAAGTTCAATGTCCTTTTCTAAGAACTATTTTTTTTTGGAAAACTTAATCAGTATACCGTTCAAGACATTGTATTTCTCAGTCGAGCAATAAAGTAAATTTACATATCTAATCAAACTCATTTAATTTTTCACTAAACAGCAACTAGTATTCCTGGGGGATTCAACCATCGTCCACTTCTGCACTCTGGTGTGATTTACAGACTCGTAAAGCTTATTGTCGTATATGTTCTATTTTGAGCTTGTATTACATTGACTGATGGTTAGGAAAACACGTTTGTTCTCAATATTATATATTCACATTTCCAGATACTTCCAAGTCAGACGTCGGTTATTCAGTTTTAATTTGAAAATCGTCTTAGATGTCGGTTTAATACGACCAATTGATCTTAACCTTCAAAACCGATGGAGTCAACGTTGTAAAGAAATTTACGAAGATTGATTACTAACCTAAATAATCAGACTGAAAAGGAAGTTAGCCTACATTAAAGGCTGGTGTCAATTGGATAATCACTGAAAACTAAGAAGTACTGGACAAATATTTTATTCTAATTTGAGACTTTTCTGAAGTGATTTAGTAATTTATTACTTCTTAAATGTTGACTTATTTCACTATTCACTTACAAAATTGATCTTTATTAGAAATGACAGGTTTAAAAGCAAAAATTTCAGGGGTTTATACTAACTAGAATTTACTAGATTCCTTTATTGTTTGTGTACTGTACGTGAAATGAATGTTGCTCATAAGTTTGAGTAGAATCTGAAATTCAATTTTTAAGTAAATTTCAAGTTGCCTAGCCTTGGTGATTGAGGAGATCGATTTATGATTGGGAGCTTACGGTGTATTCAACACCAAGTAATAGGTCTTTCGCTTGTGTGCGATTTTAGTAACACCAGTTCACATTGTCGGAAAAACAAATCAAACTGACAATCAATCAATTGGTCATCCACTGAAACGGTATCACTTTATACATGATTTGTTAATCATTTCGTAGGTTAGTAATAGATTAACTAGATAAACAGCAAGCAATAGACTTAAAAAATAAAACAAAAGCCTATTAATCTCCTACCTTTATTGTTCTTGTCATTCCTTATGCTTGGATTGGCTTCCATCTTTAAATAAGATTCACTAGTCGAATTACTTCTCGAGATGATAAAAATTTCTTAATATCTTCAAGTAATAAGTATAGCAATGGAGGAATAGAGGGAGATGGAGAGAGAGAAAGGCAGAATAAGAAAACATCACAGAAATAAGTGAATACTTGAAAGATCAATAAACAACTGACATGAGCACTTTGAAATATCAATTGGATAGATTAATATTTTCACATTTGAATTTATTTTATAAGTAAATTATAAGTAGTAAATAATTAAACAAATAGTAGTGATAAATAATTCTGTTTTTTTTAGATTAATTAACTTGAGTTTCAATTTGTTATTGTATGGATTTAGAGAATTTGTATATGAACAAAAACTCTTGAACAACAAAATATTAGTAGTAATTGGATAGGTAATGATGATTAGAAGTATGTTGGTTTTTTGTTTGATTTTATTAATTAGATGAAACTAAGATAGATTTACTATGTTAAAGAAGTATGCAATAACATAAATATTTAGTTATTTTATATTGGAAATTTCACCAAACAAATATTTGCAGTAAAGAAGAGAAAATAAAAATAAAAAAAGAGAAACTGGTCAAGCAGCAATTACATTATTCTTTGTAGTTTGGAAACAATTGATTTAAAGATACAACATTTATAATGAGTAATAATACGTTAGTTATAAATAAGACAATTCTACTGGCAAATTCTTTTATAAATCACCAAAAATTCCAGCAAATGTTTTGCGTAGGTTTTTCATAGTATCATCTGTATCTTCAGTGCTTGGTCCGGTACGTAATGAAGTTTGTCTTGGTGGGACATTTGGACGATCAAGTCCACTAGTTGTTTGACCTGTTGGTTTTCTGCTTACATCATTACCAAGTTTTTCAGTACTATATGGTACATTAGAGCTAAAAATAAAATCAGCATATAAGGAATAAACACTTATTTTCATAGAAAATATTGTCAATTAGCAAAGAACATATAATTTATTTATCAGAGCGGATGTCATAAACTGTACATAAGCTTTTACATTTTGAATACAATTACGGTGGTTTTTCAGCAGAGATGGATAGTGGCCAGCAGTGGAATCCAGGATGGGTGTATCATACCATGCCAAAAGAAACTGATGAATTACAGTCCTAAAAATCAACGGGAAGATCCAAACAACCAGTATAGATGAATTACGATAGTTGTTTGTATTCAACTATATTCTACAGGTAAGCACTTAGTTGAAATAGCATTAAGTGGTTATAATCTAGCGTTTGATGTATATCTATTTCTGATGACTTTTCATTTCAAAAGCTGAAAGGTAGTTGATTATAACTGCACCATGTGGTATAAGCTTCTTTGACATAAAACACGTATTAAAGTCTTGATGTTTTATTCTAGTATAACTGTATTCGAGGCAACATCACTGTTATCACTCACACGGCTGCTTTTTGGGATTTCTGATTGCATACTATTAACAGAATTTCAATATAAATTTAACTGAGAACTTTAAGTATATTTCGGAATATTGAAGGCCTTTCTATCTGAGTTTAAAATTGGTTTTCCTCTTGATTTCATTTCACTATACTGAGATTGCATCTAACATCAAATTTTAAACTATATGGAGTTTTGTTCTTGGTATGAACGAAAAAGTCATATGTAATGGTGTTGTCGAGAATAAAGAGTAATTCATTTGCGTTTCCGCCACGTTCGTTGGCGTTAATGAAGAATGTTCGATTGGGAAAGAAACAATAATTTAATGAATATCATTGATATGTGTATATGAACTCACTGGATGGGATGCTCCGGAAAAAGTGAATTCTTTTATATAATTGAGGAGGATCATTAAAAAGCAGCGAGGATCTGATGCGGATATCAAAGCACAAATCGGCAAAGCAAGGACAGTATTCCTACTAGTAAAGAACATCCCCAACTCAAAATAACTATCGTGCAGAACCAATGTCAGAATTTTCAACACTAGGATTAAACCAATTCTATCGTATGAAGCTGAAACTTGATTAGCTATCACCACTATTATCAGAAGGGTACGGGTATTTATTAACAACTTGTTAGAGGGATATAGATTGGATTAAAGCACGTTCCGTGAAAGATTGTATTGGGGCACGCTGATTAGCTATTTCTTATCCAATCAACTCTAGTCGATAATTGGAGAAGACTCTAGAATCTTCTCATGTGAAAACTGTAAATATACTAATGTTTCTCTTATTGTGATTCCTACTTCCATATACCCCTGTTATTTGGAATACAATTTCGTTCCTGTTCAATCACGTTCTGATTTGGTGACTTGTCGAGTGAATTTGTATCCAAGAATACTAAGCAATATGAATAGTTGGGTCGTAATAAGAGAAATTATAGCACAACTGTATACTGAACAGACGCTAGATTCATTAGTCAGAGACCATCAGCAATAATCTACTTTGAGAGAGAAGAAATCAGATGCTAGTTGAGGAGGAAATCGGGGAAAGAGGTTATAAATGTACAGAACGCGTTTTATGGAAACCATCAAACTGGATCACAAGACAGACCGTAAGTTTGGATCATCAAGGCGAAAGGAAATGAGGCTGGCCACAGAATACATTGTGCCAGGAATCAGAGACAAATACCTGGTGAATGAGTAACACTTAACAATAACTGTATACGAGAGCTTAGGGCTTACTTGCTTGGGGATGCCTGGTTGGTGACCTAGGTTCAATGAGAGGTTGCATGCTAATTAGGACATTAGGATAATCTATGGAAATTTTGAGAAAAAGCTCGTTTCGTCAGAGTCTTATTATTTCGTGTAAAAACCATAAAACGAATGAACCTTAGCTGACAAAGTGTTACACTATTACTTACTGTATTATTGATGTTTTTGAAGGAATATCACAAAATTTTTGTTTCTTGATGTGAGAGAACAATTAAATTCGTATTGTGATCTAATTAATGGCTTCTGTTTCATTCTGTGCCATCCCACTTTTATAACAAGCTAACTTTATGCTGGTGTTTCTATATAAGGTTTTAGTAAGATTCATGCATGGCTCCTGGGTCATAGTAATATTACAGTCTAAGATTATTGGCTTTTTCTGGATCGCAATAAGTTTATATTTTGCGTAAACATATACTTTATGGAAAGAATGTGATAAATATTTTTTGAACTTGAAACTTAACATAGGTTGTATGTTCAAATAAAATGTTTAAAATAATATCTTGTCCTAGGGGGTGAGAGTTCAATGTCTTTTAAAGAAGATAAAACTTTATGTGAGGGTATAGAAATTGGGAAGAATAGATTTGGTTTCACTTCATTCATCTACATTTAAATTATTGTTAAAAGCTAGAAGACCAACCTGAAAGAAGATCCGAAAGACTGTTGAGGAGAACTCATCATCTTGGTTCCAGTAGTATGATCAGAAGCATCAAATCCTGTCGACGGTTGTTGATTCATTAGATTTGGTTTGGTAGTTGAATCCATTGGTGGTATTTTGGAAGGACTAAATAAGCCAGATGAAGAACTTTGGTCCCATGTATGTGAAGAATAATTAGTGTGCGTTGTGTTTTGCATACTGGACAGTCCCCCGATATTTGAACGGTACCCAATGTCAGAATTTTCTGAAGCTGTACTGTGCCCTCGACTCGCTGCAGTTGTCGCTGGTGTACTAAAAGAAGTTTGGTGTGGTGTATCAGCCCTCGAAGATAGTGAACTAGTAGGTGAACCAAAACTTGTGGTGAAACCGGGATCAGAATGCTTACTCAGTGCAGGACTTACTGATCCTATTGGTTCACCTATAAGTGAATTAGTATTTGACGTCATCCCTGTTGACGGTGGATATTTTTGTGTTACTTGGGGCTGGAGACTTTGTTGAACATTTACTGGTTGCGATTGATGTACTTGTGAGTAAGGTTGTGATGGAAGTTGCTGAAATGGTGGATTATACGTAGGGTGTACTGCACTAGGTGCAATACTAGGCTGAGCAGCAGGTGTTGCACTTCCTATACCAATACCTACTGGTCTTTCTGTTTCGCTTGTTCTACCGATTGTTTGTAGACTTGGAACCTTAGGACTTGATATAGAATAAAAAAATTTGTAAAGCATATACATACATTTTTCTTATACTAATTAAATTATGAAAAGAAAAAAGCATTTGTCTTAAAAATAAACTCGACAGAATAAAATACATACCAACTACGCCTAGTTATATAGCAGACAAGATACGACTGGATTGCATGCTTGCATCATGCTCATTCTATAAAAAAATACCAGTACGAAATTACCGGCGAAAATATTTTAGTTGATTTAGAGTCATATAGGATTGAAAGTAAACGGAAGCGAGATACTTGTAATTCACAGGATCAATAATTCTCGGTTTACTTTGATTAATGTACTTTCACTTCCGAACAAAGGGCAAGTGTATAGGGATTTAAAGATATACTCAAGTGAGTTCTACATGAGTAATCAATTCTCTGTATATTTTCATCAAAACAGTTTCTACTTAATCCATATTATTTCAATATTAATGTGTTCATTCAGATAATAATACCAGTTTTGCAGATTTTTGTTAAAAAACCATTAAAACAATAGCTCTAGTTTAAATACTATCATATTGAATTTAGAAATCGGTTCTTTTCTGCCAGCTTTCAGCATCGAAAAGTGAATTCACCGAGTGATTTAAAGTTTCAGGATAAAAACATTAAAGACGGGTAAAACCTGTAAAAGTTCAACCCATCCATGAGGATATTAATGACAGCACTGGCAGAATATTAATGATCGATTTTGATTAGTTACAAAATCTATTTTCAAAAGTGCTTTAAAGTTTATTGGTCATTTATGAAAATAACAAAACTTCAGGAGTTATCGGTAATATATTCTAACCCAAATTTGTGATCTAAATGAAAATATTGCACATCCTAGACAGAATTCTAGTTTGAATAGCTAGATTGATATTCGCTGCTCTCGTAGCTATGAAACAGAGAAGTTCAAGTTTAAGAATCTAGTTCTTAGGTAAGTATTCTTGTAAAAGTACTTAAAGATAACTATTGACTTCATTTGATAATAAAATATAAAGGTTGTATTTTCCTAGACAACTTTATTTTGATATTTATAAGTTAGCACTTACATAGATGAAGAATATGTTATAGACTGCATACGTTGCATCACTAGTTCAGCAATTTCTGTTCTATCAGTTTCTTGGCTATCTCCATAGAGGGTCATGTCTGAACCATTAGCCTAAAAGTTAGGTCGAAAAAGAATAAATATACGAAAATGACGCCATAAAGTATTTACACGCTTAGATAAAAACTATACTATTGATTAACACATTATGTTGTTTGGTCTGTAGGTATGTTTGGCTTTTTTAATACTATATAAGATAGGTCGAAATGAGTAAAATTAACCTGTATATTGTAAATAAAATCTAGATTCTAATAACTGATCAATGACCAGTAACCAATGATACATTATCTACTTGTCAGTCCTACTGAATTTCAATTTACGAAGTCTCCAATATGGTTTCTAGCCCAAGTGATCGAAAATTGTGGATATAGATCGAGGGCTCATGTCAAACACTATTCACTGAATATTACTTCTAATCAGTCTCTTTGTTATGGATAGGGTCACGTCCACATAGCTGTAAGTCCTACTATTGTTAGTTAACAATGTAGAAACTAATAGGCACTTAAAATCTTAAGTGAGCAGAATCCTGTTCATGAATTTTAATTGTGTTATCCCATCAACTTAACTACAGATCAATAATAACTGCTTTTATGGAATTTGAATGTTAATGTCTCTTTACACTTTATGCTATGGAATAGATCAGTCGAAAGCATTAATTTCTAACATCTATAGTTAACGCAGTAAAAAATGCAGATTCTTGGAGGGAAAAAGTTCAATACAATTATAAACTAATTTTTGTGCTTTATGAGTCTTATAAATTTTACGGCACTGAAATATTACATTATCATTACTATTTTGTCTTGTTATTCTAAAAATACACAATCTTATAATAAATTTAACTGAAGCTGATGAACAGTGAAATAAGAACTATGAATACCTCAAAATCAGAGGTTATCACTCACGAAATTTCACTAATTAGTGAGTTTGATTAAAAAAAAGTGGCAACCAATCTGTTTTCATTGGTATGGTAAATCTTTCAACTGGATTATTGATTTATAACATTATTTAAGTTCCACCAAGCAACTAATGAGTTTGATATGGATCTGCATACTTTTTACGTTCCTAAAGTATCATTTCAGGAAACGGGTAAATAAATTAAAATAAGAAAATGTAGACTGACTAGTTGGATCGGTCTATAAGTAATCAAAATGACCTCACTTAGACCTGTATTGGATAATTTGCAAAAAAATGCACATTTATTGTTCACAAAATGCTTGAATGAAACGGTTGGTTTTCAGTTTTAAGTTAATAAAATTGCAGTTAGAGGCTAGTTATTGAAAAATATGAAATTATAGGAATCCTGAAAAAGTGTAAATGAATAACCTGATAAATCATGTACTATTGAAATAGATTAAGATATTTTGATGTTTAATTTTGGCTGTAATTTTCTACATTTTAGTCAATACATGGAACACAAACCATATTAAAATTTTAAAGGCTTATGTGATAGTATAGTTTATATTCCATATTTCCAAAATGATCACCTCATAAATAAAATATTCACCGCTTCTTGATTGTAACGCATCAATAGAACAGATATCCAAACCTCCAAATAAACGCGACACTTCATCAATCCATAGTTTAAATCTGAAAATAAATTAAAGCGGATAGTTTTGAAAGTGTAAAGCCTGTCAGTATCAGTGAAACGAAGAGCTAGTTTCCAAAGGCCATTAGTAACTAATCGGATGAGTAGAAAGTTAGCTGTCGAATTTTATCGTTTTTTTTAAAGTCAGTGTATAAAATATAGGAAGCAAGGGTATAATATATACCTCTGATTTATTAAGCTCTAATTCGCCAAAACTAATGATAAGAATTTGATCACTACCAATATTTACACCAAGACATGTAAATAATGATGACGGTGTTTTTTGTGTAATAGGTGTATAAAATATTTCCTCTGGTACCTATAATCTATTTATATTATCAAATCAAATAGTGAATTTATTGAAAAGTATGTAAAAACCTGTTCATATAAACGACAACCAAATTAAGTATGCTTTGAAAAATATAATTGTTTCATTTGAAAGACTAAGAATTTCTTAACAATGATATAAATCTGAATCATTGATTACAAAGAGGTTACTATCATTAAAAAAAACGAGGTTCTAATTGATAAATAGGCATTGCACTTTAATCGTCTTTCATTTAGTCTAATTCCTTCATTTATTCACCAGCTGACATTTAGTTAAGATTCTATCGACCTGCGGATTTCCGGCAAGTAACTATAGCTTATTGGATCGAAGATACTGGATCGAACTATAATTCATTTTGGATGTTGAATGATTTAAAACACTTAGCATATAACTGTTTGACTTCGTATACCCTGGAAATTCTTTATACAACCTGATTAAAGAGATAGACAAATTTCATTGTATATATAGTTGTAGAAAGATTGGTAAATAAGATCACGGTAATTAAAATTACAAATGTTAACAATGAGGATATTAGAGTGAACTTACTTGTCATTCATAGGGACTTTTTCCAATAATGCTGATCCAGTATTCGATTTCCAATTACCGGATATAGCCTTACGCCTTTATGAGAAAAATTTGTATAGTTTGACAGATAAATGCAAGGATCAATAAACCACTTTTATATGAACAAAATGAAGTTATTTTTTTCAGGTTGAGAAATCTCTTTTTGAATTCATTTTTAGGAGTCTTTTACCAAGTCACGTCACAGTCATATTTTTGAACCAGGTGATTGAGTAGTATTGTGCTCTCTGGATCTGGAGGTCATGAGTCCACTCCTATGTTAATTTGACGGTGTGCAGTGCTGGGGAGTTATTATCTAAGATATTTTCAGATAGAGTTGTTTATTTAAGCTTGAGGCTTAAAGCCTACTAAAATTACTACCCTCACTAATCATGCGACAGTATAAGGAGAATGGGAATCAGCTTTTTGACTTCATGGCTTTTAATACATGAGGTAAAATAAGTTGCAAGATTTTTAATGAAAATCGTATTTCGCTTAATGAATAAAACATTATATTGTGGCTCAAGCGCTTCTTCATATGATTTTTTCTCAAAAATAATTCAGTTTTTCTAGGTCTATGTATCACTCTGAGATAATTATATTTAACAAATGTTATCACTGATAATTATGGATTGATAAATCCCATGATAATATCTCGGTTTTTATTTTCAGTACGAAGTGTATGATATTACTTTTATTTTTTTATATTTCACCAATTAAATTATATTTTTGTCCAGGAGCCTAAGACAAACCTGGTCGATATGTTAGAAATAACCTAGCCAAAAGTCTGTCTAATTCCAATACTTTCAAAAATAAATGAATATTGAGTAGTCTTTATGTGTAGTTAAACTACATATTTTCCGTAATTACTGTTATGATATTTATTATCAGCTATAATTATTACATGTGGTTATAAAATCGGAAGCCCTGTAACCACAACAAAAAATAGTACCAAATCCTTATACTCTCTGTTTATTGAACGAGTACATTCATCAATAGTCGGTCTAAAACCTCAAAGAAATGCCATTTTGTTTAGTCAGTGACATTTTCCCCTTGCTGACAAATAGGTATGAAGAACTATCTGTGCAGTGTAGTGATACAATAATTAAATACGTTTGGTTTATAAGACATATTAATAAGAATGGAACTTACATGAACGCTTTATAATTCGTACCGATTTTTTGTACATGGAGATCACAATTGGCATCAATGAATGGTTCTGTTGTGGCATATGTTTGACCAGAAATCATAAGACCAACCAAATCTTGATAGATAAATGGTGTGTCAGCTTTCACCTTTTGAATGCAAATAGTTTGCAGAAGAAAAATATCAAGTACATTTGAGGTTATGGCGAATAGTATAAAATATCTTACATGTAAATAATAAATTTAGACACTATAGTTATTATTATTATTATTATGAAAGGAATCATATGAGTATTTTTAAGGACGATTTTATGAACTGTGCTTTCTAGCACATGATTTACTTTTAAATTAGGATTTAACTATCTGGATTATAACTAATAATTAGATGAGTTCATTGTACTGTTCAGCTTTATATAACTAAGCACGTTTTTTGTCTCAACTAACTGACTGGCTGAACTTTAAATGTGTTGATAATACAGTAAAAAAGCTTCATGATGAAACAGTTGTATTTTAATGTATGTAATAAAATAACTAGTGTTGTGCGTTCAATATGTTAATTTTTGTGAATTGTTATCTGTTGACAGTCATAATTATATTTGTGCTGCTTTTTTTCCTCACGAAATAAATTCACTCATTGGAAAAATATCCGGCTATGCAATCGTTTTACTTTGTGACTTGCTGCCGACAATCTCTTGGAGAAAATATTATCACTGTATATGACATCGGTATGCCGTAAGTTTTACTTTGAATTTAGATATTTTATTGAAATGGAGTTATCTTATTAAAAAAGACAAATGGATGTGTTAACAACAATGGAATGAAAAGTTTGATGACAAAGTCAAGTGGCTTGAATTTATTAAAACATTTGATTTACATACCTTGCCTTCGCCACGATGACCTACTCCGACTTTCACAATAACTGGAAACGCTGGTGATACAACCTAAAATGAATATGAATGAAGAGAATCAAAAGTTTATAACAATAAACAAAATTGAGTTACTTAACTAATTATTCAGGTGTCGTGCTCGATACTTCTGACAAGGGATATAAAGATGAAGAAAGACATAAAAAGCTCTTTTTTTTGATGTTGAAGTGAAAATTTCTAAATGAGAAAGTGAAGATGATTGTTTTTATAGATAGTTTTCAGTTTTTATGATGGGTTAGGATGAACAATGTAACTAATCTTGTTTACATTGTTTTAGCCACTGATGGTCTTTCAGAAACTTTTCATCACGATGATAAAATGATTTGTGTAATGTTCACGGATGAGCTAAATAAAAAGAATAGTTCATGATAGTAATAGACTTGAAAGATGTCTGTCTGTAATTATAAAGCTCTTAAACTACTTAAAATGTTAATCACTTGAAATTACAGAAAGTAATCAATATTAGATCATAAACTTCAGAACAATCTATTTTAATCAAGGTTAACTGTTCTAATTTACTTTTAAATAATTAAGTAAAAAACTTAACCAACAGATTACATTATAGCTACATTGAAGAATATGTTTTTACAATGAAGTTGAAAAGAACTGAGATAATTTAGGAATTGTTAAGTGGTTGTTCATTAGATATAATTCAGTATCAATGAAACTTATATTTCTGTAAGCATTTATCAACTAGAAAATATAAAATAAGTAATACTTGAAAAAGATAAATAAGACGATATATCTTGGTGAAAATCATCAGTACTCTAATCGTTATCAGTTATAATTTATGAAACAGACTACCACCAAGCGTAATTTAAGTAAAAAATTCCTATCGTTAATCAGTAGATCAAGTAATACTCAGCCGAACGAGAAATTATCTAATTTAGATGATCTAGTTAAACTCTGAGACTAGACTGTAATCTGTGAAGTCAGTCATGTTGAGTTTGAAAAAGGATTGTCTCAGACAGTATCGACTGATATCTATGTTGTATTACCAGTCGATTGATGTGTTTCAGTTCTATAGCTCAGAGTACTTGATGATCCTGAAACCTGTCAATTATATGAACTTTTAAGGAGTTCTATACAAGTACAAAGATGGAGTCAGTGCTATCCATTCCTCTGTTAGTATACAGTTGATATGAGTTTATGACGGTAAATAGTAGCGCTGAAAAACTTCTATAATGTTAAGTCGTCATTGTCAGAATCTAAAATGATTCCATTCCGAAACTAAACCTTTTTTTATTGGATAATAGTTTTCACTGTATTAACAGTCGATCTGATTTTATTTCCAATGAAGCTAGTTAAATAAATTTTGTATGTATACCTGAACACGATCAAATTTAGTGATGTGCTTTTCAATTATTGCTTCATACGTTAATAAGGACAAAACTATTTGCTAAAATCACTGTTTCATTATAAAAAGTATACAGTTTATGATACGTACCATTTCTTTATGACTTGTATGATAGGTTTGTGAAATAAGTGGAAAATTTTCTTTGCCCAATCGATTTCGGATCATTAATAAATGAGCGAACTGGAAGGAAAGTAAATATATATTTAACTTAAAGAACTGGGTTAATTTCAAGAACATCAGTAAAGAAAGAATATTTAGAACAAAAGTGAATTAGCTTAATGAGGAAGTGTATTCAGTTAATTTAACGTGGTATATTGAGTAGTGATAACGTTAATTTTAATTTATAACTAAGAATATGAAGGTTTACTTATAAAATATAGATCCGGGCAATATGAAAACAATCTTGACATGAAAACTATCCATAAATTGAGTTGGAAGTATATCTTTTGCATTTGTAGAAACGGTTAAACAAAACTTGGTGTGCAACGAAACTAGTAGTTATAACCTGCTGTTTATACAACTAATGATCTGTAGTTACTATCTTAGTTTAAATACATATTCATGAACCTTACCACTAAAAATATTGAAGAAATCATTGTCATTGTTTGGATAAATTAACTTCTGAATTATGGTTATCAGTTAGTATAGACTTCTAAGATTTCACATTTTCGATCTTTACACACATGTTCTGACCATTATTATTCTGCCACTGATTATACAAGCTTCACTCATTCTAACCCTACGAAATTACACATTTTTGTAACGATGTATCTGTGAACAGTGCAAAACAATAAGTAATCTCACTCAAAAAGCTTTATTCTTGACTCATTACCATAGTTTACTGGTCAAGTTATATAAATTGACCCCTAGGATAAATGCACTCCTGAAACTTTGTTCAAAAGTATATTTATATGAGTTGTTTGATTGTAATTAATCAGCTACTTGTCGAATGAACAATCTAATTTGAACTTCAGTATGAAAAGCAGGCTTTCGTTGCATATACACATAAAATCTGTTGGTAAAACCATTTAGTGATGTATAATATCAGTTGTTATTCTGCATATGTACGACAGTAGATGTCCTATAAGTTTTCATGGCTTATAAAAACTTACACAAAAAATTTAAATTCCGAGGATTTGTAGTTAGCTTTTCCAAACTAAGCGATACATTTTGGACATGTATATAGGTTTAATAGTAAGTCAATTTAAAAAAACAAAGACGAAAATAAATAAACCTGAAAGTTGTTTAACTCAGTTTATTGAAGAGCTCTAAGCATATTTTAATTAAACTCTTAATCTAAACAATATAACATAGGAAGGAGATGAATTTTGTAAACACCATACATTTCATCACTTAATATGTCTGGGACTGAAATCAACAGAAAAATTCGCCATATGTATGTTTGGAAAAATAAGAAAGATCATAATTCAATTAAAATAGTCTGTAGATAAACTGTAAATCAGTGTTTAATAAATCTAATAGACATTAAAAACGTAAGTATGATATGTTTGTGATCATGATTGTAATTGCTATACAAAATATTAATGTTGTGGCCTTAAGATTGTTCTTTTGGTTTTAGGATATTCTGAATTACTTTTAGTTCATATGATTTCTGTTTTATGAAGTCGAATTCATTGAATATACGGTTGTTACCATCAAAGCTTTAGTAGAAACACATTTGCGAGAATTTCTTCGGGTAGATTTTTTGTTACGAAAAGGAAGTAAGTATGTTAATAACAGTAGTCCTACTAACTAACCAAAAATTCTGATAAACTCACAAGCCATGGGCGATTTTTCATATTATATATTGCGTGCAGAGTATTCATACATGGTGTACCTCCATACATTAGTCCAGTGAGTATAGGTTGCCAATTCTCCTTCAAATCACTTGGATGTTGTCGTATCAGGACAAAATCAGGTTTAAATGATCTAATTTAAAACGAAATAAAATGTCGACTTTTACACAAAAAGTTTTATTTCAAGGGGATTGTTATTAGAAAACCTGGGAAAGTTTTATTGTACTTCAAGTTGTTACACTATACAGTTGAATGTGAAAAGAGTACAGGTCGATAATAAAAAGCGATTAAGCTGAAACGAGAATAAAGTATTAACTTTTACACATATTTAATTAGTAAGTTTAGTTGAATCTGTGGGACAGATTTTGAGTTATATATAATGGCTTCCGTCGGTAAATGTTGCTTAGGTAATAGTTTATTTTATTTATTTCCCTTCTCATAATGAAATCTAACATAAATATCGCATAGGGTGATGTATTAGTAAACGTAAACGCGTTATAATATCTGTTAACCATAATGGTTTTTGTATAGTGTCTCAACAACCTCTTAGGGTGGTCTAGGAATTAGGTAAATTAAACAGTCAATTTAGATATGCATGATTTGAAAGGATTTGGATAAAGCTGCTTAGTGTATAGCCAAAATCTTTCACAGGAAATGAATAGTGTCGTCGGCCTCAAAACAACCTCTTTATCCATCCAATATAAGTCAGATGGTGGATACTGCTGTTATGAAGAATGGCTTTTATGAATAAACGAAGAAGAAACTGAGCCATATTCCTCCAGAATGTCTGGAAACACGGCAAATAAAAACGTCATGGCACAAATTCAAAATTGTTACCAATTAATGAAATTTAATTTCTGAAGGAAGATCAATTTACCATACTAACCATAATCGAATTATTTATTTCATGGACGAGACAAACAATCGTGAGTAAACATGTTTAATTCATCTTGAAACTATGAAACCGCTATTTTGGACTTACTTTAGAGGTTTTGAACGTATTTGATCGGAATAGATGCTAACGACGCAACCTTGTTCGCTATAGGCTGTCATTGAAATTTCTGAGAATTGAGCCTAAAATATCAGAACAACAAAGGAGCTTAATTTTTCATGGATTGATCTTAAACCAGTACGAATTATTGATCAACTTTATATTATGAAAGAATATGCCAATTTCAAGCCTCAGAAACGACCATGGTGTACTATATATTTAAGGAAAAGTAAGTTGTGATAAAGAGGTAATGCTAAGTATGTGGGAATCGGAAAGTTAGCTTCTTATGAATAATAATTAGAGTCTCCTCCATATTAGGGGCTCAGTCTTCAAGGTTCTGTTTACCTGCCTTGATCTTTTACTTTTTTCTTGACATTTGAGAGACAAGTTTCAGTTTAATTCCACGGTATGCATATGATAGCATTATCCTTATATTGTAAAATTATCAAACTAATACTACATAAAGTCCACAGTTGATAATTCTGTTTCAATGAATCAGTTATCTAACCTGAAATCAACTTATATCTGAACCTAGTTTTGATAGATATATTGAATTATTAGAGAAGATGAATTAATAAATTCAGTTGATTTATAAACATACTTTATAGCAACGTTTGAGTTTGGTGGCAGAACTTTAAGTACTGTATACTGATTATTAACTAAATTTCGTTCACAGCACATTTCTATTCTACATACACGAGTATGGAAATCATCTGGAATACACACAATATTTATAGTGAATTTATCTAAAAGTTTAGATAAGTGAATATTATGGCATACTCACCAATTGAACGACAACAAATAGACAATAATCATTAGATAATAATTTAATTATTATCAACATGTGATTTAGTAAATACCCTATTTATAAATTTGCTTCATTTAATTTTATCATTTCTAGTTAACATGCTAATCTCAATTAATCAGTATTAGATAGAAGTGAAGAATATAAATGGTTGATATTCAAAACATCACAGAAAGATACTAAGTAAATTTCTTGTGGATTTTAAAAGCTTAGTAGAAAGTTAATAGAAATAAATATTAAGGTATAGTTTTCATGAAGCTAAAGTGATTGATTTATAGTCGAAGTGAATATGAGCTATATGTAGCGTGATGAAAAATTGAAGGTATCTACTTCTGTTACTCAGTTCCTAATAATTATATTTATGTGGATTTATTTAAGTAAATAACGAAAAAGCAAAGACGGAATTCAGTATGAAACATAGACAAATGATAGATAGTAACTAGGAGATAGCTGGTTAATTTCACTTTTGTTAAAATCCCTGATAGTCGAATAAGAAACTAATTTGTTCATCTCTTACACTATCCTAACCGTCATAGATTCAGTTTCATTAAATTTCTAGTGATTTTTTGTTTTTATTTTCATCCTTGGTTAACTGCTTGTTATAATGATGTTAACTCGATTGTTTATTGAATAAATGAAGAATTGTTTTTCCCTTCAAAGAATAAATTTGGATGTTTACTCTATAGTCATCTTCTTCAGTACCTATTGTAAACAAGTTGTAAGGTTAATTTAGTGAATTTTCATTCATTTATTCACTTCTAGATTTATAAATCAATGAATATTTCAGTATCTTGTAAAATAATGGTAGCCTTTAGTTCAGGAATAAATTTGTAGCGATCACGACATTAAAATGAGCCATTAATTAACATTAGCACAGATTAATATCAGAGTTAGGAAACATTATCAAAGTGACCATATAGATGATACACTTGAACATAATTAATTTAGCATAAAATCTGAATTAATCTAGAATTCGACATACTTGTTCTACTTTTATTTCCCAATCTCCCATCAGCTTCTTGCCTCTGAAATATTTACACCTTTAAAAAAAAGAATGAAAGTTAAGAAACTTATCTTAAGAGATCAAGATTTAATAAAACTTTCTTAGTACATTAATAGTTTTATTACCATTCAGTCTTCTGTTCTTCAAGCCATTTGTGATAAAATGATTTATGTAAGGTTACCAATAGATGAATAATAAATGTTTTATTGAAGATATAACTATTCTCAACAGTTTTACTTAAAGGGAGATGTAGGCTTTAGAAAAGAAAATGTATAAAGTAGATTCTTTTTTATTTTATTAATGATCATAGTATTTGTGACAGTCGCCGTAAAATTGTTTTGGAGCACTATTCAGTTATTCTGTATTGTATGGTCATTCATTATGGTAGTTGGATTAAATTCATTGCAAACAAAGAAACTTAAGAAAAATCTGTTTTGACACGGGCCTATTTTTCAACTTGGAAAGTAGTATTTATTAAAAGAATAAGCAGATAACAAAGACTACCCAAAATGTTGCATCTTCACAACTAATCGAAAAGAATAGATCGAAAATTCCTTGAAATTAGTGGGTCTACTTAGTTTTAAAAAGGATCTCAATTGGGGGTTTGTAAAAATGAAGACGATTACTGCATACCGATAAGAATAATATATTTTTAGTATCCCAATGAGTCGAAAAATTGAATTTTCTCTGAAGTGACTTGCACCGAGTCATGAAACGAAAGATAATATAATTTTTCTACTTATTGGGATATCACAAGCATATTATTTTTATTGATAACAATCTAACCAATGGCCAATTTATTTAAAATTATCAAGTCAAATCTTGGTAATGATACCTACAAACAGATTAATCTATACACTAGTGCTTTATCTGTTAATACACCTGTCTGAATTTAATAGAATTGGTTTGAACTTACTTAACTTTCTTTGCTAAACTCTTCAAACGCCTGCCTCCATTATAACATTCTAGGCATAAACTAATAGAAAATTATTCATCAATTCACTAAGTAACCGTTTTTTTATGTACTTTACATTGGCCACATAATAATATTGTAGTCGAATAGATATGTTATTACTAAGTGTAATTTGTATAGGTATATTCAAGCATATAGCACCATCAAATCAGTCAAGAATATCAGGCCACCATGTGAGTAATATGAACGCTGTAAATTACTTTCAATTTTATCTTTTGATAAAGTGCAAACGGTATTGCATACGTTAATTTTAACCAGTGTTTGTTGGTTAAAAATATTATTTTTAAGAGATATCTTGTGAATTAATTTGTCATCAGATATATGCTTCCCATTAGAATTGGTTCCCAATTTCAGGAGTCTGGTCTACAATAAGCAGTGTTTTTGCATAGTGTCCTTGGTGTTTCTTTAATCTCTGGGAGAAAACAGTTGCTGAAATTTTACATCACTGATCAAAAGCATGTTCTGTTTTCATCCAGAACAAGTTTCATTTCCCAACTCCCTTGTTGCTATTTATTTTATTTTATTCGAGGTCCACTTTGTTAGCTTTGTTGTAATAAAAGTGATGGAAGGTATGCTTTACTAATCCTAATAGTTTTAGTGGTGCTACTTATTACAGTTCAAATGATTTAACTATGAAGCTTTAATTGTAGGGTTGAATAATATTATCAGACCCAACTTTATTTTTAGAAAATTATTACATACGCACCATATTAATTATTTCTGATGTACCTGTTTGTGCTTGGTTGTGTTTGGAGATTTTGTTATCTTCCTATCAGTTCTTCTTTTTGTTTACTTGGTGTTTTGACCTAGTTTACTTACTTACACAATGGTTGAATTTCATTTCCTTTCAGTCTTAAAATACAGTTACTTTATCATGAGGGATTTCCCCCTTGGGTTATACAAAAGGATCTGGTTTGACCTATTTCAGTATTGTTTGCTATTCATGCCTTGGATATTTTGTGGGGAAACCGAATTTTGAAATTAGTATGTTATGATAATATTGGTAATTTGTATTCAGCACATATATGATGAATAAAAGCAGTATGTCTATTTAAGAGATGGATTGTAATTATCAGTAGATACCAGGGAGTGAATTTCATCGAATTCATGGGATATACTTGCATTCTAGAGTTGATCTACACTCCGAGATTCGAACCCGGATTCTTTGGCTTCAAATGTCAGAATTCAATTAGCAATATCTACAACAGGATAACTCAGAAAACCCCTACGAATTAGTGTGTTTAGATGTTGATTATTGATCAAATAATGCATATTGAATTTATCACGTAAATGCTGATTGTAATTGCATTTTCTAAATCAATTAATTGAATTGTTCATAATTGTAAACTTAGCAAAATTTCAGCTTGTTTGAAGTGTGGTTTCACTTTTCGTTTCATTTTGATGCCAGGTATTCAGTTCAAAATATAGCAATCCTAGAATGTGAAAAGTGTGCTTCATCTACTTTTTGGCTGAGATCTCTTTCAATAAGTACAATGTTTAAGTTCCGTTTGGTTGATATTTAATAGGTACCCGTTACTGTTATCAACAATTGTACTACTGGAATGAGTTATTTCTTGCGTAAAACACGTTTTAGAATATTAAGTACTACACATTTGGCGTCAAGATTAATTTAATGGATGTGAGTTGGCCACAGAATGTAGAAAGGTGAATACACCTATGTATGAATGATAACATACAACTAATGCTAGTAATCACGTATTACGGCAATTTCCTAACGTATATGGGATAGTGTTAACGCGTCACTCAAAATATTTTACCGTAATGAATAAATTTTACTTGCATTATTCGTTGTAAGGTCTAAAGTGTATATTATCAAAATATTTTTTAAAACATTGAAATAGTATCCTAAAGATATTGTACTCTTTTTGAGACTTGAAAGTTCTGAGTATGATCATTAGTGGGGCTATGGTGATGGACTGTTTAGAAATTTAAAAATAGGGCAAGACAATATATTCTATTTAAACATTTTTGAAGTTCACTGATGAGTCACTGCATTTTCTTAAGTGAGATGATACTGAGAAGCATTATGTAAGATAAATGTCTTACAGCTTAGTTTGTACCATTTTACCTCATTGCTAATAATAACTTATAATTCGTTAGTGAACAACGCTGATATGTAGGAAAACTGATGACTCAAGGTACAGATATTTCCATCTTCCAACCAATTAGTGAGCAAAATGTTTAACTTTGATTTGATTGTTTAATCAAATATTTCTTGATATGGATTTTCATACGATTTTTATTCACCATACTATGCTTTCAAAGTGCATTATTTCCTTAAAGATAATCATAGTTTAAATATAATACTTGACAAGACAGGTGCACAAAGTTTTCATAAATTATCACTCACCAATCAGTTTGCGTGTCATCTATGACTAGAAGTATTTTCTGGTGATCTTTTGAAGACATTTTTCCGGATATATTCTGAGCAGTGGAGGCAGCAGTATTGAAACTACGCATGAGGGTATTGGATATCTGACCAGTTAAACTTCCCATTGGACCCATTAGTGAGGCACCAAGTCCCATACCTCTCGTTGGTGATGTTGGTGCACTTGGATAAGCACCACGTCCTCGACCTACAGATCCAGGAGTGTGATTAGTTGTAGTTGTGGCTGTCTGAGAACTAGAGAATTGTTCGGCCATGGTAGGGGCTGTAGATCCGTATCTCATATCGTAGTTTGCAGGACCTGTAGAACTAAAATCTTGGGGTTGGTTTGAATAACCCTGCCCTGTAGTTTGAATATTAGAGCTTTGCTGTTGATACTGTTGATATGATTGTCCAGACTGTGTGGTTGATCCAAATCGTAGGAAACTAGGTAGGCCCTCTTGCATACGCTTGTCAGCTAATTCACCTTGCAGGTCCCCAGATGAGAAGCGTCGTTTTAAGTAAGTAATCATCCCAGAATTCATACAATCAGTTTAACAAGTTCTATTGTGTGTATTAAGATGCATGTATTTTTCGTATTGTGAAGATCATAGATTCGCGTAGTTTATCCGCTAAATTACACGTGAACGTGAACGGATGGATACACAGAATGAGTCAGAAATCTAAAAATTCATCACTAGCCTAATAAATCTAACGGAATAAATCAATAAAATATCCCTTATGAATGATGATTGGTTTATAATAAATTCAATCATCTGCCAATTACATATACTTGTACAACAATTTTAAGTCAAAAAATTAGAACATCTATGGAAGAGAGAATCAGCCCTGAGTCTAGTAGAATATGACCTTTCTAAAATGTATAGTTATCAAAGCAATGATTGGTAGAAAGATAGGCTAATTCAGTGACCTTTAAGAAGTAGTCGTATGATTGGTGTAAGTAGGACGAGAAGATAAGCAGTTATCAAAGTGATCAATAAGAGAATTCGCGTTTCCTCAACTATGATATGAGACTATATATCATTTTTGGGAGATCAGGATAGAAAAATCGAGAATTTATTTGTCCTACTAAAAGAAGAAAAATTAGAGTGTTGGTTTAGAACAATTAGATTTAATGCCTTTAGATGATCATTAACTAAAAACACATTTGGTATTTACTGACTTGAAAAATTATGGATGAATTTGCACTTTACATGATTTTCTGTATATTGCATACTTATGGTTTGAATTGAAAATATGTAGTTTCTCTTTTCCTTCAATATAAGACGTATGATAATAGGTTTAAAATAAGTGGTTTATATTAGCTTTTAGTAAAATACGAGATTATATGTTAGCAACAATCAGTATCAAAACTGTAGAATACCAGTCAGTATTTACTAGTGGATAGATTCAGATTATTGAAAAAGGTTTCTACATTCATTATATAAAACCTAAAAATATCCGATTAGTTGAGATGGTGGAGAAATGTATTCATATATATATATATATATATATATATATATATATATATATATATATATATATATATATATATATATATATATATATATATATATATATATATCTGCAGTAACCTTTGCCAGTCATCATTGAACTATTACTTCACTTGTTTAGTTATTGATTAATTTAACAATTCAGATCATTCAGGATTAATAGCATTAGCCAATTAGATACAAAAGCTAATTAGGTAGAAGATTCTGAAAATTTTATCATCAAACACAATACCAGAAACATTAGAATTGATTATTAATTAATTAGTTGTATGTTGATATAGAAATCTTTTTCATTTTCATCTGAAGTTGAGTTAATATATGATAAGCAACTATAATGGTCTTTAAAAAAGGTCGATAATTTTGATAGTATAAGAGACTAAATAGTTGGAATAACTTGTTAAAACTGACCTGTTTTATAAACATAGGAGCTCTAAAATATCTTTGAAGTAACTACACAAAAAAGCTTACATTTTCATTTGATTATCAATTTGTTCTCTAAAAACTAATTGTGAAACTATGGAGGGATCCTGTTTGAAAATTACATTCACTTGAATCTTCCAATTGATGTTTAGGACTGCGATTGATCAGTCTATTATTAGCATATGTGTATACTGTGCGAATCGCCCCGATATAGTCTTAATTCAAAAGCATTATATACAAAGATGGATAATGGCTAGCATTGAAATACAGGACGCACGTTTCGTCCTATTTGGGACTCGTCAGCTAGATGTATATGCGTCTCAGAGTTGATGTTCACTCTGAGACTCGAACTCAGTACCTTTCATTTCAAACACCATCGCGTTATCCAACTAGCTACTGATTCCTGATAGCCACTTGATTATGAAATGGGGTGAAGTTTAAATTCAATTGGCATTGTTTGCTTGAAAGTTGTGTTTGTATATAAATAAAATCAATATAAAACTATGATATGATACTGTATTGTACAAGACTAATTCAATGTGTAGTATACACCAGCTTATATATATATATATATATATATATATATATATATATATATATATATATATTAGTCTCAACAATTTGATCTACAAAATACATCATGAACATTAAATGAATAATTATAAAAGTTACAAAGTAGTTTATCATTGAATCTCTTCACAATTTTCATATTTTAAAGATTTTCTTAAAAAATTATATAAATAATAAAGATGACATTGAAAACATTTTTTAAATTTCATTTGATTCCCTTTATGACTAATAAACATATTATAGTTTGACATTAAAGATGAAGAATGTGTTTGTTAAAATCTCAGCGAAAGAATTTGAATTAAATCCAACGTTTCGCCTAGCAATCTGGTTCAAGCTTTTTCAAGGAGAACATTTTGGTATAAATATTTTACGTATTAAATTAGAATCATTTTTTCACCATAGCAACACATTCATTTTCATAATTTAAATTATATTCTATTATATCATTTTGTATATTAAATAATTCATTAAAATCTATGATTTTTGCATTTAATGAATTATATTCATTGTGAATTAAGATTTTAGCTAAAATATCAATTTCATTATTCATTAAATGTTCATTTATATCATAGATTATAAAACGTGTTTGAATAAACCATAATAAATGATGGAATATTTTCTGTCGGATAGATGGATTGAATTCAGGGTTGAATAGCATGATATAAAACATTTTGAACTTGTTCTGATTTTTTATTATCTTTATTAGAACCAGATATTGTTTTCAAAGCGGAAAGAGAATTACTTATGCAATGGCCTATATAGTGCTTCAATTATCGATACCTTCAATATTTTAACAGCAAATGTATTTAAATGAAAGTCCTATTCAAAATTGTCAGAAATAAATTTGTTATATCATGACTATTCATAACATTTGATACTGAAGAATGACTTTGTAAGTGTTTAAAGTTTAACTGATTAGAAATTCATATTTTTTATTTAACCTACTGAAAAAAATGACCAACATTTTTTTATCCAAAGTCGACTGGAATATGTCTTATGTCATTTTCAAAATTCTTCACTTCAAGTGAGTGTTGGCAGTATAACCTTGGAAGACACAGACGGAAGAATTAGAGATTAAGGAGATGCTAGTTCCTGTTTATCTCAGGAAACTTTATATATCAGGATATTTTTCAAGTTTGCCTGAATCGTTATTTGTAGTCATCAGATCTCAGCTTCATCTTTTTATCTGAAAAGTGGTTTTGATATTTTTTCATGAATGTTTTTCATTCCATTATAATGCTTCACCTGTTATTTTCACAAATTCGTTTTACCTACAAAGTGTTACGCCCTTTTCATGCTCAAATTTCATTCGTAATCCTCTTTTTATAACTATAGAATCGTTAGTTGTTTCGTTTCCACCTGCAGAATGAAACACAATCTATTAATTTCCTAACAATGTATATCACAGTTTTCAAGATATAACTTTATGTCGTCCATTAATAGTCTTATTGTTAAAATTTGTTACAACTATTGCAATTTTCCAGTAAATAGGCAACTTGTTTCAAAAATTAGTTATAATATCTCGTTTAAACTGTAAAAGGTAATTCAGCAAGTGAAATTGTTGCTAAAATAGATTACGGTTGTTTACCAGTGCTAGATTTGTGTCTCTCCTATTATTAATCTGCTAAAAAGAATCAAACATGTTAGTTAAACTACAAATAAGGGTTTGTATTTCCCTGTTGTTAATATTTAGTATAACATATGGTCACTCTCGAACAAGTAAGTGTCTCCCTGAAATCAATGATTTTACGAATAACTTCTTGGCGCTTGAAGAAACTGATAGTAAGTTCAACTCTCAGTGTCAAGATAAATACTGAGATGCAGTCACATCCAAATGACGAATCTTAACTAGGATTAAGCGCTAATCTTGAATTCTTCAGCTAGTCACAATCCAAATATTAGCTCAAAAAGACTCGGCATTTAATACTTTCGATTATATCTCTTTATAGGAAAATTAAGATAGAGTACATAGTTATAATGTCAAAAGTTCTAGGAATTAATCCACAGAAATATGATTTAGGTATCAAAGACGAGTTTACTAACTCAAATTACCAACTGTAAGCTTAACCTACTAGAATATTTTAAAGTAGGATTATGATTCCTTATCATCATCTCCTTATCATCATTTCTTTTTCAAATGTTTTATTTTTACGGACCTTCTTGTCACACTTTACACTTACATTCAATTTTCCATGGATTATTCTTAATACCAAAAAATTCTATTCACATTATTGCTTTATTTTACTGATTATAAACCAATTTTCAACAATATTTTTTTTAACATTAATTTTGAATACACAGATTTGTATAATATTACCCTTTTATATATAGGACCTCAGATTCTTGTATACGTTTTATCAACAATCAAAACACATCAAATTTAGATGTAGTAGATTTTAGACAAACCAGTTATAATTAATATCTTCAATGTGCATACTATTTTGCTTCTTATAAAATTATCCATTTTAATTTTTAACCTTATTGTTATAAAAGAAGAAAACGTTGAAAACAAATAGTATCATAAAATTTCATGATTTATATTCTATTATATATTAAAGAATTTTAATTGTCTTAAACATTGTTTCTTAGGGATAAATAATAACTTTCAAAACTTCGCTACTTTAATTTGTGATATCCTGGATGAGAACAATGAATGGTAACTTACTTACTTACTTACTTGCTCCTGTTACTCCTAATGGAGCATAGGCCGCCGACCAGCATTCTCCAACCCACTCTGTCCTGGACCTTCTTTTCTAATTCCATCCAATTCTTGTTCATTTTTCTCATGTCTATCTCCATTTCCCGGCGTAATGTGTTTTTTGGTCTTTCTCTTTTCCTTTGGCCCTGATGATTCCATGTGAGGGCTCGTCTTGTGACTCCTGGATTCCCTTCCGGGGGCTACTGCCGGTCTCAAGCCCGGATGAAGGAGGAGGGTTGGGCATATGGTTAGCGACCCCATCCATTAGAAAACTAACTCGTTAAAAAAGCGCTAACCAGAAAAAATTATTCAGTGAATGGTAACTGTTGGAATCTATTTCTGGACTAACACTATACATATATTTTTGTTGTATAATTGTTAAGTAACTAAATTACTCATATCTGTGTTCCTCTTATCATAAGCTTTATTTTGACTTATGAACTATTATTATAGGACTTACCATTCTTGAGTTATGCCCAGTCTATCAATTACTATCTCCTACATT